CAGGAAAAAGGAATTACTACAGAGTTTTGTAATGTTTTGGTTTTTCTCTGCAGTAAAGTTGTGGTCAACCAATCTTGACAACTCTGTGGCTAGCATCGAGGCTAAAGCTAACGTGTGCTGTGTTAAATTCAGTCCAACCTCCAGATATCACCTGGCCTTCGGCTGTGCAGGTAAATGACTCAGAATTCATTTTTATTCAGTCAATTTTCTGCTTTCGCATGTTTGTTCTATGCTGTCAAGTTTAAACTTGTTTCTCTTTCGATTTGATGTATTATTTTTTTGTGGTTTTCACCTCCCACTACATTAATTCCTCTGTAAGAATGCTACATTTCTTCTGTGGCCACATACTCCTTGGTGGTCCAGACAAATATTTATACCAGCCTCAAATGAGAGTAGGAATCATAATAAATATCCAGTTTTTGTATTGAGTCCTTGCTATCACTAGCATTAAAGAACAAAACAACCGGCATGGAAAATGTGCCTTTGAGAATAAAATCTTGATCTTGCCCAAGAAGGAGTTGAACTCCATCAATTAAAAAAAGAAAAAGAAAAACATATTTCAATGATGAAAAACATTTCTAGTTACAATTGAGGTCCACAGGGACATTGCACCACGTCTTTACTATGACTACAAACCTCTGAGGTTTCTGAATAGAACTCAACAACACACCACTCGCTGCCTCATGGATGTTTCTATTTTTTTAACCGTCCTCTTGTTATTCCCCCCAACAGATCACTGTGTGCATTACTATGATCTACGCAACACTAAGCAGCCAATCATGGTGTTTAAAGGCCACAGGAAAGCGGTGTCCTATGCCAAGTTTGTAAATGGAGAGGAGATAGTTTCTGCGTAAGTTGGAATTTTCTTATTTTGACAGTAATGTCTAAGATAAATGTTTTACTCAATGTTTGGTACCTGAGTGTTTTTGGTGCTGATAATTCCTCCAACTCCAAGACTCTCCACAAATTAGAGACTGTGGTCATGCTTCTAGTTTGTTTTTAAGTAGACATAATTAAGATTCTTTTGCTGGCATATATATTTATGGCTCACTTTTTGTTTTCTTCACTGATGACATCAACCCAAAACACTGGAAAGGCTGCTAATTTCTTTAATGATGCCTTTTCAGTTAATTATTAGCCTACAAATGTCCTACACTTGAACATTTACAGCCAAAGTTAATTTGAGTTCCATCTGTTAGCATCATTAGTTTAGATCAAGCCTATAAAATCCAGCACACATTGTATCCAAGCCCGATCAGAGCCGACTAATCAGCTTTAATTATAGGGCCAAGCCCAAAGTAAACCTGACATATTTAAATTAAGATATTACTGCTTTTGTTTTTGGACCACAGTTTGAGTAAGCAGCGTAACTTCTGCCGTTTGTGGCTTTAGTTTACTATCTTTCAGCTCCATTTTGTCACTCGTTGTACCCAGTGAGTAAAGTACAAATCATCTGGGATGTGTGATTGTTTGGAGCGGAGCAGAGTTGGACTGCCTACCCATTTATTGTGCACTGTGATGCTGTTTTGGTTAGTCTAATTAGCCTATGTACCTTGCTTTCTTTCTGCCATAAACAGAGTAAGCTGCCAATTCCTCGACTTGCTCTATGAGTAGATTAACAAAACTTTTTATTGTGCATCCTCATTTAGTTTTCTCTGTCCTGTACATAGTGCAGGCTTATTAAGTGCATCACAGAAGCTCAATCCCGACTTAATCATCAAGAAAATAATTTTGAAATTTTGCATTTGAGTTGGGCTCAAGCTGTAAATCTAAACTCGACGAGCCATTCATCCGTTTCTCCCAGGAATGCTAAGATTTCTGTGGCTGGTTATCAATTTTCACTGTTCAGAGGAAATGTGAAATTTGAATCTATTGAGTTATCAGTTGGAGAATGAGAATCAAGCCAGTAGTAAAATATTTTAGAAAACACAACTAGAAGTGTTTTAACTACTAAAAATGCTCCAGTTTAGATCAATTTTATATATTATGTTGTGATCTGCAGGTCGACAGACAGTCAGCTGAAGTTATGGAACGTCAACAAACCTCACTGTCTGCGCTCCTTCAAGGGTCACATCAACGAGAAGAACTTTGTTGGTTTGGCATCCAATGGAGACTATGTTGCCTGTGGTAACGATTCACTAACGATTGACTATTTCTCTACAGAGCAAAAGATGTCAATTTAAGTATCACGTTTTCTTTTTGGGTTTTTGTTTCTGTTGTCAGGCAGCGAAAACAACTCTTTGTATCTGTACTACAAAGGACTTTCCAAGACTCTGTTAACATTCAAGTTTGACACAGTTAAGAGCGTCCTGGACAAAGACAAGAAGGAAGACGACACCAATGAGTTTGTCAGTGCCGTCTGCTGGAGAGCGCTGCCAGATGGAGTGAGTGACTGACGACGTGGAAGAATCTTTTAGTTGCAGGGATTTTTGTGAAACTTGTTATACTATTTAATCTCTTAGTGAAAATGTTTTTGAAACATGTGCTGAACTTGTCTCTAATACAGTCTTTTTGTGTGTTTTTACAGGAGTCAAATGTTCTAATTGCTGCAAACAGTCAAGGAACAATCAAGGTTTGTGTTCAGAGCATTTTTGTGCTCCACTTTTTTACATCCTTAGGGAAATTTGAGAAGTTCACTTGAGCTGGGTACAGGGATTTAGCATTCAATTGTGTTTGTAGACAAAGTTTCATATATTTGCCTCTAATTCCCAAATGCAAGAGCAAAGCAAACCAGACATTGACCAAAATCGAATGCATCTTCATGCTCACCTTGCATTTGTTTTAGTTTTGTGTAATTGGAGATGTATTAGCCCCATCTGAAGTATCTTCATTTGATGTTTGTTGGTGTATATAAATGTTTTGTTGTATTTTTTATATAAAATAATGAATAGAAACGTGACTTGTTTCCTGTCCTTACCCTGTATTAGCAATGTAGAACTTTCACAAATGTTATGTAACAAATAAAACGAGTAACTCCGCACTGCTTTTCTTCTCATAGGTGCTTGAGCTCGTCTGAAAATCTGACCGTCTCTATCGAACTTCAGAACTGCTTCCCTGTGTGGAGGAAGGACCAGGTGGATGTAGGAAGATCTCAGGCTGCCTGCCGAGCACCAAGAGAGCTAAAGCAGTGAACTGATCTTTTAAATTTTAGTTTGGTTTATTATTCTCGGGCAGCAGGACAAACTCGGGACCAGTTCGTCAGTGAAGCGGGTGACTCTTTTTTTTTTGCAACAAAACAGGGACCGAATATGAGGCACAAAGCCAAAGGAGACTTTGAAGAAAGCTTTTTTTTCCCCCCTGTTTATTAGCATTATATTTACTTCAGTAAAACACCTCTTTATTGTTTTAGGTCAAATCAAAGTTTGTATTTTGCTTTTTAACCGAGCTTCTTTTTTCAGCGGCACATCCAGGTAAATGTTACCCGTTTGGTGCATTTTCTTTTAAAGGCCAAAGCACAAAACAGAACAGCATGCAGAAATGTTTTCAGAGAAAACTTTTACCCCATTACCCATCATTGTTTAACTTTTTGTTTCTCTTGTTTTATGTAGTTTTTCTGTTTGCCAAATTGGTAAAAAAAGCAGTTTTAATAAATATAACTTGAATTTCATCCACACATTTGTCAAAAATCACAGTGAGCCTCCCCTTAACCTAAGGCGGCTTGACAATGTGGAACTGGAATATTTGTTGTGTTCGGGCTCTTTGTTGCTTTATTTAAAAAAAAAAAAAAAAACATAACCTCACAGAATCGGTTTTAGTTATTTTAAAGTAGCAACAGAAACTTTCTTTGCGTACTGTAGGCTTACAACCTATCACCTGAACTGAGCGGCACTGTAACTTGAGAACTGCTGTCGGTTTTTGTGGTGTGATAATCCATTAAGTCACATGGAGGGGATTGAAGAAGCACCACCAAGGCCTGCCTATTTTATGACTGAGTGAGAGAGGTGTTTTTGTATTTGTATTACTGAATAAATTATTTCAGAACAACCTTTTCTTTTATTCCTTTGGTTACTATGTTTTAATGGCGAGTGATCACCTTGGAGTTGATCCTTCACCCAGTTTGTGACTTAACCATCCCGCAGTCCTGGTGCAACGCTCAGTCAAGAAGAGCGCAGCAGGTGTCGCGCAAAGGGAGAGCAGTAGGCTAAACACCTGAAGTACACACCGGGTTTTCAGAAAGATTTTTTAAGATTCCTGTGATAATAGTGAGGAAAACACAAGAGAGTTAATGTGTGGCTTCTGAATGGACTGATGTAGTTCTCTAATTCAAACATTAACTTTTGTAATTGCAAGGAGGGTCTGCTGAGATATTAGACCTATAATGACCCAATTGAGGATCTCCACGCAATACCCCCAAAATAGTTTCACCTCTATCTGTACTCCTTGGCATTTCACACAGAGATCAGGGCTTTCGTTACCTGCTGGGAAGAAATTTCTTTTGTGCCTGCTGCTGGATGTTTCCCTAAGCCAATTTCACACATAACTTGGAAAGTAGCTTGAAAATGAACAGAGAATTAGATTTTAACTTTTTCTTCAGTTGTCCTTTTTGAAAAGATTTATTTGATCACAGCTTTCTATCTAAAATCTATATAGGCAAGTAAGTGTAATCAGATAGCAATCTATCTGATTACATTTACTTACCTAAATTTACTTGTCTTGGGAGATTCTGTTAACTTAAGTCACTCACTTTAAAAGGAGTGAATATTGATGCAATGATTAACTTCATCTTTTATTTGACCTAATTTTAAATGAGACAGTGATCCAAAAAAAACATGCTTTCACTTTGACAGATGGTATTTATTTTAAAATTATTTTGAGAATGTTTTCTTTAACTAAATTTCTGAATTTGTTTAGTGAAATAAATCTAAAGTGTGATTGTAATTGCAAAGTTTTTACAATACTTTTTTTTTAGCTGTATTTTAATTTCTCTGCAATTGAGGTGAGGACCAATGATCCCGGAACCTTCGTTTCCCGAGCACAGTCGGAACAGTTTGGCTGTCGGACTACGGACAACAAGCTAGTTAGCGGCCGTTGGAAACAAAACAGCGAGTTTTACTGACTCTTTATCAAACCTTCACTCTGTTTGGTCGGGTTCGTGCCTAAACGGCTCGTTTCCAGTTTCGACTGTTTGCCGTGCTCATACAAAAGCTCAAAGTCTGCTAGTAGAGATGGGGGTGCCGAAATTTTACCGCTGGATTTCTGAACGCTATCCTTGTCTCAGTGAAGTTGTCAAAGAACACAAGGTAGGGAAGCTTTTAGCTGTTTGCAGAGGCCCGAAACTTTTTAATCCACGTTGCTCCTCTGTGTTTTCTTTATCACTAAACGGCTCTCATTTCTCCAAAGAACCCATAGTTTACGCACTATCTAAACACATTACAGACACAAGGTCATTTGCCACATTCCTTCACTAATTGTGAGCTGGTTTGGTGATTTCCTCGCACGGTTTGCTTTAATATTAAAGTTGACGTTTTAAAAATTGTAATTCGGATGATTGTTGAGCAAGACAATTCCAAACAACAACTCAGATAGTCGTTTGCCGTGTCTGACCGTAGTATCGCGATAGCAGCGGGTAACATGAAGTTGTGGCAAAGGGCAGAGCATAATAATAACTTTCGTTTTTAGTGAAATGCTGCGCTGTGCTGCATTTGTGTAAACAGCTTGTTTTAGTAAAGGTCCCCACTTTCGTGGTAAAGTGGGGCTCCTTAAATGGCTCCACATCTGTGACTCAGCGGAGTATTTCAGTTTTCTTACTGTCGTTTCATCAGTGTTGTTCTTATTGCATCAGATATTCTTCTCCAAGTAAAAAAAAAAAAAGAAAAACCTTGATAGCTTTATTTTATAATTTAAAAAATTTCCCGCCAATCTTGATGATTGTTATGGATGATTATTTGTCTGGTGATCCTTGAAGAAAAAACATCTACTGTAAAAGAAATTAAATAGTTAGAAAGTGGACACAGTCTGAAAACTAACGCACACTAACAGGGTATTACACTTTTAAACTCCCCATTTTAAATTGATTGGCATTCCCCAAATTCACGTCCTTTAATTAAATGGAATAACTTTGGGTCTTCAATTATCTTTCTTTGAATTGCTACTGTAGCTATGAGCAAGTTTACTTCAGTTTTACTTCAATTGCAAGACAGGAGTCTTTGCCCAGAGCGACTTTTTGGGTTAGGATTAAATTCACATCCAATTGGAAATAGGATGTTATAGATTACTGCTTGGAAACTCCTAGACATTTTTGATCAACTTGGAAAAAAAAACAACTACAGTACCAATTCCAAACATATATAATTTCTCCTTTTAAAGACATCTACGATAAAATACATATTTATACAACTTACTTTGTTTTTAAAAGTCCATGAGCTACTGACTTAATATTTTCGTTCTACCTGCAGATTCCAGAGTTCGACAACCTTTATCTGGACATGAATGGCATCATCCACCAGTGCTCTCACCCGAATGATGAAGATGTCCATTTTCGCATATCTGAGGAGAAGATCTTTGCAGACATTTTCCATTACCTGGAGGTACTGTTTCGGATCATCAAGCCACGCAAGGTCTTCTTCATGGCTGTGGACGGTGTGGCACCAAGGGCAAAGATGAATCAGCAAAGAGGACGCAGATTCAGGTAGAAATGGACGAGGTCAATGCATGTAATCTGCATATTTTTGTAGTTTTTCTTCTTTTTTTGTTTTGTTTATATTTTTTATTTTGATACAAACATAGATTATTCTCAGTTCACCTCACCTGAATAAGATTAAAAATGAACTACAGCAGCCTAAATAGAACAATTACTATTTACTAAGTACAAGCAGTACTTTTAAGTACTTAAAAGTACTGTACTTAAAAGTTTATACTTTATAGCAGTACTTTTAAGTACTTTTAAGTACTGCAAGCAGTACTTTTAAGTACTGCTTGTACTTAAAAGTTTATACTTTTGAGTACTGCTTGTACTTAAAAGATAACATCCATCTAAATTCAAGCAGGGACTCAACCTGTTATTGTTAGTCTGACCACTCCCTCTTTTTTTGCATCCAGGTCCGCCAAAGAAGCAGAGGAGAAGATTAAAAAAGCGCTGGACAAAGGAGAGGTTCTTCCAACAGAAGCTCGCTTCGACTCCAACTGTATCACTCCTGGTAGGGTTGGCCTAAAGCTCTCCTCACTGTAAACATTACTTATTTAAAAAAACAAGTCATTTTCTGACTCGTCTTAATTTTGACTTGTTTAAAGACTTTTGTCTTGTGTGATTCTTGCCAATCTCTCATGGATGAACAAATTTTCACACAGTTTTTCTTCTAAACTTTTTCCAGGAACTGATTTCATGGCGAGACTACAGGAACAGCTCAAGTACTTTGTCCACAACAAGGTGTCTACAGACAAACTGTGGCAAAACGTCAAAGTCTTCTTGTCGGGTCATGAGGTATGTGTTGGCTAAGCCTTAAATGTGAGGCTTAGCAATGGCTTGACGTCGAGGTTTCTGTTTTTTTTTTCTAGACACCGGGTGAAGGAGAACATAAGATCATGGAGTTTATCCGTTCTGAGAACGCCAAACCGAATCATGATCCCAACACCCGACACTGCCTGTATGGCCTGGATGCTGACCTGGTACGCTTTGAGTTGGTGTAAAAGCGAGGATGTACATTGCTTCTCAAACTCTTTTGAAGCTCACCTTGTTCTTTATTGTTTTCTTTGTAGATCATGTTGGGCTTAACCAGTCATGAGCATAATTTCTCCCTGCTCAGAGAGGAAGTCCGCTTTGGAGGAAAAAAATCCCAGAAAAGGTTCTTTTTCTCTCTCTCTCTCTTTCTCTCTCTCCTTTCTGTTCTTTTGGGCTGTTTTGATCGAGTGTTTTAAGCCCAGCTTGTTTCTTCTCTTCCAGAATAACGGCTCCAGAGGAGACAACTTTTCACCTGCTGCATCTGTCTCTGATGAGGGAGTACATCGACTATGAGTTCTCAGAGCTAAAGGTGCGACACACTTAAACACAAAGCTATCCAAATGGTACATCTACATGAAAAGTGACATTCTGAGGTTAACCCCAAATGCAATGCAAGCATAGCTTATGTCCCTTCAGTAACAGAAGAAACATTTATTTAGAGTTAAACTAAATGACTCTAATTAAAGTTATTTATTTTTTCTGTTCTGTTACAACCACAAATAATGTTTTTTTTTAATTCCATGTGATATATTAACACAAAGTAGAAAGGAGATGGATAATTAGTTTCCAAATATATTTATTTCTTCATGTAGGAATTTATTTTGTTTATTTTTCCATTGGAAAATAGCTCTTGTTCAGTCAGGTTGGATGGACAGTGACTTTCTAATCTTGACATTGACTGGGCCATTTTAACATGTGATTATGCTTTGACACATTTGACTTGATTTTTATTTGAAGGGGAAAAAACATTTAGAAAACAATTGAGAGATGATTTAAGTGTGAAAAATGTTCCAAGGCTACAAACGGTGATGCATAGAGCGGAATCTGGTCAAGTCATCTATACTTGTTGTAATCTGTGCTCTTGTGTCTGTGACTGTTTTTCAGCGTCATATGGGTTCTGATTATGATCTGGAGCGAATAATAGACGACTGGATATTAATGGGGTTCCTCGTAGGAAATGATTTCATCCCTCACCTCCCTCATCTTCACATTAATCATGATGCTTTGCCGTTGCTGTACAAAACTTACGTCAGTGTACTACCCGGCCTGGGGGGTGAGGCACTAACACACAAACACATGCACTCAGATAATTATATTACATCATACATGTTTGATTGCATGTGCCAGAGTCTGTCCGGTTGTTGATATTGCCCTTCACATGTGTGTAGCTTTCATTTCTGTTTGTTCTGTTCACACCGACCTCAGAACGTAGTAATATGCTTTCTTTATCTGTTCATTGATTAAAACAGAAATCTATTCATAATTGCAGGCTACCTGAATGAGAATGGCTATTTAAACCTCAGAAATTTTGAGAAATACCTGGAGAAACTTTCTGAGGTAAGCAGTCATCAAAAAGTTTCCTTTAATACATTTTTTTTTTCTTCCTCGTATCTTGATTTTTTTGTCTCCTTCCTTCCTTACGTCCTACCCTTCTTATGTCCTTCCTTCCTCTCTCAGACCTTTCGATTTTTTGTGCCTTTACTTTGTCGCTCATGTGTCTTTCTAAACGTCCTTCCATCATGTTTTCATTCCATCCTTGCTTTGTCCTACCTTCTTCCCCTTCTTTCTTCTTTCCTTCCCCCCTCAATTATTTCTTAATTTTTCCTTCCTTCCGTCCTTCCTTCGTTTTATTATTCCTCCCTTTCTTTCCATGTCCTTTTTTCCCTTTTTATTCATGAAAATGTTAAGGAATCTGGAGTAAAAGTTTTTTTTCCCCCCATCACTCCTCTGTATACTTCTAGTTTGACCGGGAACACTTTAGCGAAGTGTTTGTTGACTTGAAGTGGTTCGAGAGTAAAGTCGGCAACAAATATCTGAACGAGTCGGCCGGTCTGGCAGCCGAGCAGGAAGCGGTGATCCGAGCTGGGAGAAAGACAGAGGTAGGAAAGCAGCATTTTAAAGAAACGGCCATGTTTGATTCTTAGCTTGGGTAATTTTTGAAAATGTTTCTTTTAATATTCACTCCAAATTGTTGTTTCTAATACATTAAAGGACACTTCTATTCATCTCACCACCTTGACCTCACCGGAAAAAGTGGCTGAACAAGAAAAAAAAGACATGGCAGATGATGTTGAGGAGGAGGAAGAGGAAGATGAGATGTTTGAAACAGAGTTCAGACAATACAAACGGACATACTATATGACCAAGATGGGCGTGGATGTGGTCTCTGAGTGAGTGTCATTCAAATAATTCACCATTTAATAGTTGGCAAGCACGATTTTTCTTTTTGGAAACATACTTGTTCTGATACATGATAGGTATTTTTCATACTTCTAAAAGTAGTGTGACAATGGATTCAAATGGTTTCTGCCTGATTTTAGCTTTCAGTTTATTTACCTTCAGGAGCTTGTTGGTTGGAGCTAAATTACAGAGCGGTTTGTCTTGTGTAGGTGTCTCCAAACACACCTACTGTTGTTATTTTTTTTATGCTGGCGCAGCAGCACAAAGTGCCCAAGGGTTGAGCAGAGTGAAAATATGTATCAGAGGTGACAGCATTTGATAACTGTATCCAGTCACATGACTGACACTCATGTTTTGGAGGAAAGGTTGTGCAACCGGTTAAAACAGATTCTTCTGGAAACTATGAAGCTGGGGTTCGATGCAAAAGTATAGAATTTTATTAATTAATTTTTGTTTGTTTGTTTCTCATGACATTAACATACAAATTGAACTTTGTTCCATTTGTTTGTGAATGAGACATTCCTACTCAAGGGTTTTAGTTAAGTTTGGTTTAGAGGCTAAATGGCATTAAAGAATTATTTTGAATATATCAAGCTGTTTTAGACTTTTAAAGCTTTGTGTCACATCAATCAGATCTATCAGGGTGTCCGTACATCCTTAATAAGTCTTAAATTTATGTAAACAAACCTAAGGCCTTAAAACGTCTTCAATTTATTTATTGAAGACGTCCTGAATTTAGGCCTGTGATTAATATGTTGTTCGCAGGTCTTATATTCTTTCAATAATGGTCTTAAAGAGTCTTAAATTTGAGTTGTACTAAAAAAAGTAGCTTAAACTAATTCTGAATTGAAAGCCATCTTCATCATTGTGCTTTTTTACAATTTGTGGAATAGATGGATAATAAAACCCAAATACAACAGTTTGCTGTGTGGCAGGAAACACAGTTTTGTGTTTCCTCTTATTGACAAAATAAAAGACGAGACGCTATTTAACCAAAGACAGTTCGGTGACACCATGAACATCAGTGATTGTCAGCAGTTCCTCTTTGTTCAGATTATTTTTGCCCACCTGAACATGGAAAAATCTTAACATCGGCTGCGTACTACCTTAAACTAGCGCAGCATGCCATCTGTGACTGGCACAGAACTGAATGAACCAAGCTCAGGGAACAAACCCATCATCAATAACTTATCACTTCACCAGTTTTCACCTTTTGCTAACGTAGAGCTACGTTTTGATTCCACTTATTTGCAGTGAATTTCTCGCCAAGCAAGCCAAATGCTATGTGGAAGGCATCCAGTGGATTCTTCACTACTACTACCACGGTGTTCAGTCATGGAGCTGGTGAGTGCGCCTCCCATATAGCAAGGGTTGCCACAGCAACTACTTGCTTTTTGGTATTTCTAATCTGAGTTTGAGTTTCATTGACATTCTGTCACCTTTTGGAAACAACAGATCTCTCTTTCATTTTGAAATCAAGCTTTAAATAACATGTGTGCACCTCTGCAGGTACTATCCTTTCCACTATGCCCCGTTTTTGTCTGACATCCGAAACATATCAGAGTTGAAGCTGACCTTTGACCTCGGGAAACCCTTCATGCCTTTCCAGCAGCTGCTTGCTGTCCTGCCTGCTGCCAGCAAGGAGCTGCTCCCAGAGAGCTACAGGGTAACTACTCAAACACCAACACAAAGTCTGTCAACATGCTCAGAAGCGCACCGTGTGGGCGTATAAAGGAACTGCACTTCTTTGCCTTTTCCACCAACTGATTGGTTATGGGGAAAGGAGAAACACAAAGATTTTCACAGAGTTCACTCAGGGAAACATTAATAAAACTGAAGCGAGACTATAATCATATTTAGAATATAATTTTAATATTTACAACGCAGCTTTCTGAATTGGATGCAGATGGGTATGCTATAATTAAGAAGTCAGCTGTTCAGACACAAACATTTCCCCCAAAACTTACAGAACACCACACCCATGAAATGCCTCATGCAATAGTCCTTATAGAAAGAAAAAGCTCCCTGACATAAGTTTTCCTTTTGAGGTTTTTCACTTTAAAGTTCAAGTGCTTTGAAATAACATTGGACCCAAAATAATGCAGCCTTGGTATATACTGAAACAAGAGAACAGGATATTACATCATATTCTCCCCCAGGTCTGGTGCATATTCCACCAGAAATGCTCCTGTCAGCGTGTGGCGATGAATCACAGAGAAATCCTTGTCCTCATTTTCGTCACAGCTGAAACACAAAACTTTCTCATGAAGTCTATAAATTAAACTTCTTGCGGGAAAGTTTGACATTTCACTTAGAGACGGCTCAGACTTTTTTTTTTTTCTTCGGGATGGTCTGTGTTCCAAATAATTAGCCCATTGGATCGTACATGAAAAAATATCCGAACAAAACATTTTATTTGCTTTGTTTGTTTATTTACTTGTTCATTTATTACAGTTTCACACAGATTATTTTAACATATGTCACACAGTAATGGAGAGAACTGAACTAAAATTATTGTGGATTTATAGAGGTTTTTATGTCCTTTGAAAATGTCTCCCATTTGATGGATTTACAGGTTCAGCAATTATTAACGTTTAAATGTATTTTTAATTTTTGAAATGTTTTCTAAGTGAATTCATCCACAATACAGATGTTGTTTTGAACATCTGTATTGTAGATGAATGTTTGAAGTCTGCACTCTGTAGGAAATGCCTAATATTTTGCTGGGAAGGGCTTGTTGATAGCTGCTTTCAGTTCTAGTGTTTTTTTGTTATTATAGTATAAAAATGGGCAAAGGAAAGTATGAAACAGTAAGACAAGAAATTCAGATGTTAATCTGTTCTTCTTAATTATTTTTTAGGACTTGATGACCAGTCCAAACTCTCCCATTATCGAATACTATCCTCTTGACTTCAAAACTGACCTCAATGGAAAGCAGCAGGAGTGGGAAGCTGTGGTGCTCATTCCGTTCATAGACGAGGTATACACACACACACACACACTGAACATGATGCCATCAGTCAAACAAACTTATTAACTTGTCTGTCTGTTTGTGAAAAAGACGTGCCTTTTAGCAGCTATGGAGCCTTTCAGTTCCAAACTGACGAAGGAAGAGAAGGCCAGGAACCGGCACTCGGAGTGCGGCTTGTACTCCTACGACCCAGACATTGACTTCACATACGCCTCCTCCCTGCCGCAGCTCTTCCCAAACATCGTCCATTGTCATGTCAGGTACATTTACACATTTCATCCTTGCAGTTTCTGAAAAAGCTACAGCTGAACACCTTTTGAGGGTGTTCAGAAAATGTCTACTCTGTGACTTATGGAGTTTCTTCGGCTGTTCCAGGGAAGTCCAGATCCCCATGGATGCCTGGCATGTGCCATCAGACCACGTCAGCAAGCGCGTTGACCGCTCGACTTTATACTTCTGTGGTTTCCCCACTCTGCACCACATCAAGCACAAGGTGGGAGAGCCTGTTGACGTTTAGCACAATCTAGAGTTACTCCAGCTCAAATTTGGCATTTATCTGAGGTCCATAAAGATGGGTTTGTTTCAGTTTCACTCAGCTTTGAAAGAAATATTAAACTCTGCTAGTTTGTTTGATCCAGGTTTTGAATCCTTTTTCTTTCGCTTTCCTGATATTTTCTTGTTCACTGCCTGTAGTTTTATAAGAAGAAGAGCGGAGTGGTCGTGTTCCAGCAGAGCAGCAGAGGAGAAAACATGATTCTGGACATCCTTCCTAGTCAGGATGGGGAAACGGTGAGCATTTGTTTTGGTGTCCAAAAAATCCAGAACTGGTCACTACTAAGAACTGAAATCCTCTGTGTTAGAGAACTGTGCAACAATCTTTGTTTTCATATCCAACCACTCTTTTTTTTCCTTCTCTATATCTGTAGATATGTGATCATGTTGCTGCAGACCTTTTGGGGAAGCCCGTGTTTGTCAACTGGCCCCATCTAGAGGAAGCTCGTGTTATTGCGGTGTCGGATGGCGAAACCAAGTGAGAATATTGACATTCTGAAAATGCATTTTTAGATGCCTTCCCCTCCTCATTTGCACTCCTCATTTATCTTTTGGTGAAGTCCAAATCAGTTAAAGCAACCAAAACTTTGCAACCCATCTTTCAGATTTGCTATAGAGGAGCCTCCTGGAGTCCAACAAGTGTATGACAGGCCGTCCAGTCCTCCACCCACTAAAGTAACTTATCTGTCTGACAAAGAGCAGAAGGACTGGGTGAAGGATGTCCAGGGAATCACTGAACAGTAATTCATGCTTACCAATACAGCAGAACAATTCTTTTTGATTCATTTTGTCTGTCTTAGATTAAAGTTTATTGTGTTTGTTTTCTCCCAGCTTCTTCAAGAGGAAAGGCATCGCAGTGAACGAGACAACCGTGCTTTTGTACGGTCAGATGCTGACAGGAAGGAAGTATGTCCCTAAAGCCAGTGGAGTGGTGGAGCTGGAAAAACAGTGGGCCAAGCAGGTTCTCCCATTCGCCTACCAGACTGTGGTTAAGGTACCTGCATGCAAACACTGTGAAATAACGCGCCAGTCAGAGCTGAGGGAGGAGTTGTAGTCAAAAGCACGACTTAAATATTTTTATCCTACTTGTGCAGGAATTTAGTTCAGACCAAAGTTTGTTCAACGGACGATGCTGCAAGGCGTCGCATCTTAAACTCCCCACAAATATATTTTCTGCATATAAGAAGTAGAGATATCCTTTTCAGGACTTTTTGCCCTTGGTAGCAATCATTTAGGGTTTGCTTAGGGTTGCTCTTTATTTAATAGGGCATGGGTGTCAAATTAATGTAGCTTGTAAATAACTTCAGCTTTCCCCTTATTCTCAGGACATCAAGGCCTTTTACTCATCTCTGACCTGCTTTAAGAGTTTGGATGAACTTTTTCCTCCGTCAACGACAGTCTTCATGGTGGGAAGCCCTTACTATGGTGCCATGGGAGAGGTGAGTCATCAACCTTTAAGGAATCGGATCATTGATCTGCCCCAAGTTCTGCTTCTGTACTTGGCCCACAAAAAAGGAAGAAAATAAAAGCTAATAGCCTATAAAAACAAACCGTAAAATCTGATTACTAATTTTTTTTTCCCCCATTACTTTAGATTTTTGTTGTAAACTGAAGTTCAGCTTATTTAAATCACAATCTCTCTAATCTCTAAGTCTCACTTTAATGATGCTAGTTGGGTAGCATTAGTCGAATCAACACCAGCTGCTCTTTAAACTTCTCTTTCAGGTTCAAGACTCCCAAGATGTCATCAAAGACGGTCGGATACGAGTGGTTTTCAGTGTGCCTCATGAGCCGCAGCTGGAACACTTGATCCAGAATCAGCATGTAAGACCCTGTGAAGACACGTCGCTTTAAATCATGGAACGAGCGTTCGTCCTCATTTGTTTATGTGGATTTTTCCAGAAATACTCGGTCAAGTACTGCCCAGGCTACGTCCTGGCTTCCCGCCTCGGCGTCAGCGGCTACCTCGTCTCCCGCTTCTCAGGAAGCATCTTCATCGGCCGAGGCTCCAAGAAGAAGTTTGTGTCTGAATTCTTGTTGGTTTGCTTCAAATGCGGGTCTTTGTTCTTGTGCTAAGCATACTTTATACGTCTTCACTGTGTCCAGTCCATGCGGGGAGCAGAGAGCTAACGTCGGGCTTAACTTGAAGTTCAACAAGAAGAACGAGGAGGTTCCTGGGTACACCAAGAGAACGGAGAAAGAGTGGCTCTACTCTGCTGCTGTGGAGGAGCTGCTTGCTGAATACCTGGACAGGTACAATCTTTTCTTGCTATGCTAAATATGCTGCTAAGTTTTCTTTTGTCAAGCTCCTGGCTGCAAGTTTTGACTGTATGGCGCATTTAGCTTGGCCCCACTTATTGGCCGGCGCCATTCCGTGCAGTCATGCTGGAGAAAGTATGTTTTCATGTCAAATTTATCTGGTTGTGAAAGTTCTTCAAAATTAGCAAGTTAATTGTGTCGAAAAGCGAACAGATATCCATTCTTAATTTCAACATTTTTATTTATTCATTTATTTTGTATTTTCATAGATTTTCTGAAGTTTTTGATGCAGTGTCCAGAAACAGTCACGACGACGTGTTCTACGAAGACGACATCTGGCCGGGAGAGGATCAGAACGGGTGAGGACAAAGAAAACATTCAGACCTAACAAACGAGACATTTAGAGAGTCGAACTTCCCCCTTCTTTGTCGTGAGAAGCCAGGAGCTAAATTAAGCTCCATGCTAGATATTTGGATCAATGCATCGTAATGAACGTTAGATTAGATTTCTCACGATGTGTGAAAAATCAGTAACGCAAAGAATTTCAGTCGAAAATAAAAGACGTGAATAAAAATCAATACGTTGATCCTCCACTTGCCGTTAATATATTTTATATATTTTTTGTTTAAAGTTATGGAACAGAAACTGTTGCACGCAGCCAAGTTTCTCATCCAGATTCAAGTTTTTACAATAAAGTTGCGTCGGAATGGAAAGGATACAACTTCTTTCAATTTTTCCCCAAAGCTTAACAACATTGTAGACTCAAGTATTTGTTTTCTTACTTGTACCGGTACTAAATCACCTGAGTTATTGCGTGTGGTTTGTTTTTCTTATGTCCTGCTGCCAAAACAAAACCCACAACCGCATAGTGACCAAACTGTTTCTGAAGTCCAAATGACTGATGCCTCCACAGAGAGATAATGGAATTCTATTGGAGAAATTTACCAGAATTTCCACTGGTTGCTAAAAACTTACATTGAACAAGATTGATTCAAACTTTTCATTCTAGGGCTTAGATGTCTCTTTGTTGGGGATGTATGTACATTGGTCTCTTGTCTTTATTTTGCAGCAGGAAGAGTAGAGATTCCATTGTAGAAATATCTGTTTTCCCCAAGGTGTTTTCCTTTTCAACATTTGATGCACGCCATGAATAACATTTCTTTCCTAACTCCTTCCTGTATCAGGGTTTTCATTATTTGCCTTCTTTTTACAGGGCGGAGAAGGTGGCTGAAATCACCTCCTGGTTGAAAAGTCATCCAGTCAGCTCCACCAGCAGGACGTCATGCGACCTCCAGGTTCTGGACTCTGCCATTGTGGAGAAGATCGAGGAAGCCGTGGAAAAGACCAAGGTGAGCGTCTCATCCTATGACTTGCTCTTTCTAATCACAAAGCGTCGTCTTTGTTCTCGCTGTATCCGTCTCACGGTAACTGCTCCTCCCTCAGGTGAAGAAGAGCACCAAGAAAGTCCGCGTGACGGTCAAGCCTCATCTCCTGTTTCGGGTCAGTGATGCTTCTTGCTAGTTTGTTGTGTCGCCGGTTGTTATGCGGTGAATAAAATGCGACGCTGCTTGTGTGTAGCCCCTGGAGCAGCAGCAGGGCGTGGTCCCAGACCCCGAGGCCGAGTACCGGCTGTTTGACAGAGTCGTCAACATCAGGGAGAGCTTCACCGTCCCGCTGGGACACAGAGGGACGATCATTGGCATTAAAGGAGGTAGAAACACTCAACTTTACATGCAATCTATATATAGAGGAAAATAAAAGATATTACTTCAAGAACATCAATCATTTTGTCTTCAGCGGACCGCGAGGCTGAGGTTCTCTATGAGGTCCTGTTTGATGAGGAATTTGCTGGAGGTCTTAACATCAGGTGAGTTGCTTTGCTTTTAGGTTTTGTGGGGTGTTTAGTTTCAAAAGATCTTTGTAAAACTAAGAAAAGAACAAGTTGGTTCAGGCCTCTAAATTTTTTCTCAGCAGAGATGAAAGACAGGAGAAAACCAGCTATAAGGGATCACAAATTCATGAAGTCTATTAATAATGAGTAAATTCAGTCCAACTCTACAAATAGTAGTGATACTTGGAAAAAATTGTACAAAATGAAATTAAAAGAAAAAAGTTGAAATATCATGAGAATAAAAACAAGTTGTAATGTTATAACTTGATTCTCATCATTTTTTTAAATTATTTTCTTAATGTGGCCCTAATACTCTGTGGTACACCTGCACCTAGTTTAGTTTAATTTTCCAGTGAAATTGGTGAGGAAACATCATGAAGACCAAGAATCGAAGCACCGTGTTCAGGATTAAAGACGTGGAGGCGTTCAAAACAGAATGTGGAGTTTTGAGCGTCTCATCAAACATCATTTAAACTTACAGCCAGGCGTGTTTGCAGTTTCCCAGCAGGCTTGTGCAGGCAGGCGCTGCTCTGGTCAGATGCGACCTAAACGCGTCCTGTCTCTCTGCTCAGGTGTACCTCCCCCCGCGGTTACCGCCTCCCTCCCTGCGCTCTCATCAACTTGTCCCACGGCACCCGGCTGGACCACGGCTCCCACAAACTCACCGCCATCGTCAAACCGCAGCCATCCACCAGCGCCAACTTCAGCATGCAGCGCCTGGCGGGCCTGAATCACTCGCCCCGCTCACCCTTTGTGCCCACACAGGTGAGAGAGGGAACAACTGCAGACATCATGCGAGATGAAGTAATTCTCCATTTTTAACTGCTGCACATCCTCGTCTGCAGCACAACAAGAACGCCGTGGCGTCTCAGGGTAACAAAACCCCATCTAAAGGTCCCAATCAGAAACAACAAGCTAAGGTAAGTACCACATGTTGCGTCGCGTACGTCAGCTTGATTAAAACAGCGTAACGCCTTGTGTTTGTGTCTCCATCCAGTCTAAAGAGGAGTACAACAACGTGTGGCAATTGCTCCAGAAGAACGGCCCTCCCAGCCAACCTCCAGCTCACTGGCACAATGATGTTAGTGTCTTTGTTTTGTTTTTGATTTTGTTGGAATAGATGATCAGGTTGTTAGTCTTAGTGGTGGTTAATTTAAACTTTTGTGATTTTTAGGGAGCAGCTTTACAACAAGGAAAGAATCAGCGTTCCAGTAAAGCTGTGAGTTAACACAGATGCTTCAGGGAGAAGCAAAACTTCCTTAAGACTTTTGCTATCATTTTACTTCACTGTAATTTAACAAACTGTGAGAAAGTTATCTTTTTATTCATAATGAGCAATTAGCAAAATTACCTGCTGATTATAAAGAATTTTTATGGCATCCATACAATGGAAAATGAAAAATGGTCTTTTTTAATGAAAAGAATTTAGTCTTTTTGACTTGATTTCATGATGTACTTTCAGGTAAATTCCAGAATGTTGGAATAATAGAGAAAAAACACATTTTAATTGACTGAAAGATTACGGCAACACATCAAACCCCAATTTAATATTTAAGAACAGAGCAATGAAGTCATTATTAGTCTGTCGAGTTCTTAAGGCTTTGAGCTCGAATGAACCGCAGTGAGAACTATCCACCTAATCAGGGCTGTTTTTATAAAACTACCCGTTAAACTTAAAATATTACTAAATAGCTAATTTGATGAGTGTAATATTGAACATCTTTTTGCAATAATTTAATTTGCCAGTATACAGATAAAAATGCTATGATTTGATGAATAAAATTATATTTAAGCACACAACTGTTCTGTTCAGGAGTTTTAGTACTACATACAAAGTCCCCAAATTTGACACACACTCTCTGTAAGATGGAAACACACTCCGTTGTTTATTTTTGCAGGCTCCCGTCGGTGGCATCAGACTATTAAAGAAAAATGAAGACCTCAACTCCTTTTTCCCTCCAAAGAACACAGCTACTAAGGTTCAAGCAAACACAAACTTCCACTGACATCTTTGTTTTCCATTATATTTAACAAACAAAACGATCCGTTCTGCTTAACCACAGCTCTCCTTCTGTTTGGCTCCGACAGGGCACCACTGAGTTTGAGGATCTTATTGCAAACCTAAAGATTTCCCAGGGTAACCAGCAAACGCCACCGCCTCCTGCCCCTCTGGAGGAACCCAGCAACCAGTCAGATGGTCCGTTGTCCCCCCAGTCCTTCGCCATGGTATGTACAGAAGGTTATGATGGCATAACCTCATGAAAAAGATAGTCAGACACTGCAAAAACACAAAATCATACCTACTAATTTTAGTCTAGTTTCCAGTGCAAACATCCTATTTTACTTCAAGTAAGACAAACTAATTTAAAGTAACTTTTCAGCAAGGCATAGAGGCTTTTTTGAATTAAATAATTCCTTAAAATTAAAGAAAAAGTGCATCTTCTATTGGCAGACATTAACTTAGAACATGGGGAAAATGTTTTGTTATAAATTGATCTGCCAGTGGAACTGGCATGTTTTCATTATTATTAAGGAATTAGTTACTTAAAACAAGCTTCTGTATCTTGCCAAAAAGTTGTTTGTAATTTAGTTTTGTCTTATTTCAAGTTTGCTAAGATGTTTGCATGAGAAACTAGACAAAAAATATTTACGATTTTGTTTTTGCAGTGTACTAAAAAGCCTGAGGCTGAATGAGGGTTTTTTGTTTTTTGGGTGGGGTTTTGTAGAAAGGAACCCTGGTTCTGAAGGAGATGCTGAAGATTGATGGCGCCGGAAAAGGAAGCCCAACATCCCAGGAGTCGATAGACAGTGCGCCCCCTGCTGGCCAGCAGCAGAACAGAAAGCGATCGAGCAAGAAGCTGGGTACGTAGCTGCACGTCTCCACGGCAGCGCAGTGGGGAATCCGCGTTGACATGTTTCTCACCGTGCGCTTCTTCCCTCCAGCTGCAAAAATAAACAACCCTCCTGGGGAATCGGTCACGCTGGCCTCTCCAGCGCCGGCTGCCTCTGCTCACGCTGCCCTGGGTGGGAAGGTGTCGGAGCTGGCTTGTTTCTGCGTGGGCGTGGGCATGGCCCCTCCTGACTTCAGCTTTATTCGCAACCGACAGGTAAACACCGTTTCACAGCTCCCCACCTCAGATCCGGCACTCGTTTCACTTTGGGATCTAACTTGTTGTGCTTCACGATTTGTCCCTCAAAGGGTCCGGTAGTGTGTCAGGTGAAGCTGTCCAACGGGTTAATGATTCACGGACCTCAGTGTCAGTCAGAAAACGAAGCCAAGGAGAAAGCTGCCTTCTTTGCCCTCCAAAGACTGGTAAATGCTTCACAATTCACCAAAGAAGATCTCAGACTTTAGCGTTTCAACGGAAGGTTTTAATACTCTTACCATCCAATATGTCTGACTTCATGTTTACGTGTAGAACTCTCTGGGCTCCGGGTTCCCCCTCCCTCCTCATCTATATCCGGGGATAGCTCAGATGCAGCCGCTGCCAATGGGAGCCATGTCACCAGTCTTCAGCCAGCAAGGTCAGTGCGTTGCTCTGCATGTTAGAGTGCGAGGCAGGAAGCCTCGATACTTATGTGTTTAAAAGTGAGAGATTCTGATATAAGGGGAAAATCCTCACAGCCACATTTGGGCAAACTTGGCTAAGTTTAGCAATTATTTTGAAGAAAGAATTACTCATATCCAGTTGTTGCTTTGCCACAATTTTTTTTTTTATCTGGAAAAAAGTTTTAAAAAACAAAACAAACAAACATAAAAAAAAAATCAGCCCACAGGAATTGAGGGAACTCTTACGCTTTCTTTCTGGTCAGTATGATTTAGAAATCCCATTTCATCCATAGTCATAAAACTTTATTTAAGTTTTGTATGTTTTTTTTTTAGGGCTTAAACAATTAATCGGATTAACCGATTATCGACATAATCTCATAAGAAGGCCGTTCTCGGGAAGAACAGCACCTCAAAGCATCAAAAAGCCAGAACAGTACAAAAAATATACATTTTGCATTTAAGATAAAAAAAAAGAATAATTTGTCTGCAAAACGTTTCACCCAGAAACGAATGGCATTGTTTTAACTTTTCCTGATTCTACAAACGCAAATCTCCTTTTAAGCACCTTTTTCTATCCGATTATTAACCGGTTAATCCATACAAGTGATCAGCAGATCAGCCATACACCGTATAGATGCTGAGTCGAGCAGAAAGCATTGAGCTCTTCACATAATAAAGCTGAAGTATTTTTTTGCTGCATATTTATGCTTTGCGCACTAAATGAATGCTGGTATTGCATTTTAGCAATGATATGTCTATTTTATCATTCGTAAGGAGAATTAATTCATCTGTTTGCATTTTTAATGTTGCCCAAAATAGCCTTTAGCTGTGAAGTGAAAAAATATGCAGAGATTTATGTTCATCTAATGCTTTCTAACATTGTGTGGGTCTGCCATTTAAAATCTCAATTAAAAAAAGAAAAACCCTTTAAGACGTAAGTGAGAAATGTAGTTTTTGTCCAGGCGGTTTGCTGCTGCCCTCTCAGGGCTTCGGCCCCTCCCCCCTGTGGGGAATGACCCTGCCTCCCCACCACCACCCCACCCAGCCGTTCTACGCAGCAGCCGGAACCTTCCCCGGCGCCGTCCACACGCCGTCTCCCAACCCTCTACACATTGGCTCACACAACCAGTTCGTCCCCTTACAGGTGAGCTGGAGGAAAAGCTTCAGTGTTTCTGTGTTGTCTCAAATGTAAACCTCATCCTCTGTTCATTCCCTCCGTTACAGGTGACTAAAAAACGAGCATCGGCCAACAAGAAGAACCAGGAAACCAGAGAGTTTTACAGCGCCGCCCAAACTGTTGCCAAGAACCAATCCCTGAAAGCCCAGAGCTCTGCTCAGTCCCAACATCAGAACCAATCACAGGGCAGCAAACCACACCAGCCACACACACAGCAGGCCAACAGCGACCCCTCCTCGTCCAGCCCCGGCCCGGCCGACGGCGTCTCCACGAAGTCCGCGGTCCAGCACGCGCCTCCCAGACAGAGCGCGGCCCCTGCAGGCCACGCCCCTAGCTCCGCCTCCAAGAGGAAGCACAGGAAGTTGGCTGTTAACTTTGAGGCAACTAAAGTGTCAGAGTGAGCTGGGTCTGTGTTTCTGTATACTGGAGGAGGGAGGAAAAAACATATTTTTTCTTAAGTTGTTTCTCTGAATCAAAAGCTCATCATCGTCTCTCTGCCATTTCAGAACAGAAAGTGGGTTATGGATTTTTTTTTTTTCCTTTTAAATCCAATCCAGATGAAATCAGTGCTGCAAGACGCCTTTAAAGCTTAGATATGCCCTCCATGTTTTAAGCTAACAGGCAGCTGAGCAGATCTTTTAATGCAATTGTGGGATTTCTTTATATAAGTAAGATGGCATTGAGGATCAGTTTCACCTCACATGTTGGACTGAGCAGAATTTGTTTTCATATGAACATATTAGGAATGTGCGGCACAACTGAAGAGGAAAGAATCATTACACAGGATTTTTTTGTTGTTGTTGTAAATTGTAAATATTTCAAACAGATTTGGGTTTATCAAAATACTCATCCAAACATCTGAAGCGACAGTTCAACCTGAGGTTTGTCTAAAAAAAAAAAAAAAAGCATCCTGGAGATCTAGTTGTAGGTTTTTAAAAGGGCATTAAAATATTTTCTTTGCTCTTTTAAGGTGAGGTGCACTTTAATGTTTTTTTTAATGGCATTTTTAAAGTGATAAAACCCATTTAATTTCATGATTGTAACTGCAATTAATTGATTTCTCTCTGGGGGCAAATTTACAGAAAGATCTCTAAGGTAAAACACTGCCTTAACAATGTAAAACAAAAAGATATGCATTTTAGTCGACACAAAACATTTTTACTAGTTTTATTTCGTCCTGTTGAGATTTGGGCATTTTGTAATTTCGTATTTTCTTTAACAAGACACTGATTTTTTTATTCGACCTGCTTTGAACGCCCAGGGCCACAATTTAATACAGTAAATAAATAAATCTTTAAATAATTTTTATTTTGTTTTATAATTGAAGGTCCGGGATAATGAGTTGCATTTCATAAAACAAAACATACGCTCCTAATTATTTAAATGTGTAAAACACAAATAAAATGAAAAAAATGCATATTTAAATGTGAAATTGATGTTAAAGTTATGATATTTCTCTAGTTCATTGTTCCAGTCTGATATAACGCTAATGTACCATTTCATTGGTTCATCTTCACAACATGTCAGATTATATCGTGAAAAGCACTGGTTGCCCCCCAACTGCCCTTAAAGTCATAATGTTTAAGTTTGCAACCAGAAATAATTAAATATTACGTCCTTTTTGTAAATATTGTTACAAACGGCATGTTGGATTTACATTCAGTAAGTTATTTCTATAGATGATTTCAAATTTAAAGGACATGCTATTATTTAATGATTTATCAAGCTTGTAAATTGTGGCACATTTGGGCTTCCATAGAGAGAGCCTGACTTAAATGTGCTCCAGTGAAACGAGGGTTTTCCCACTTGGTCCTCTTCACCGTTCTGCATCCTTGGGGGGTCAGGGGTCGATCGCATCAGCCCTGCCGCAGGTCGCAGCGCGCTTTTAATCCCGTCGGTTCAGGGAAATCTCCAGCAAACAAACCCGGATCGTTTTTCTCAGGGACCTCAGATCTCGGCTCGGATTTTCTCCGCTGCTTTTCCTGGCAGTTTTGCCCCCCCATCTCTGTCTATCGTTTAGTTTTTCTGATTTTTGCAGAGATCTTCAGTTTCTTCCTTTCTTTCTTCTTCTCTTTCTTTCTTTTGTTCTTTCCTTCTTTCTCTCTTTCGTTCTCTATCTGTCTTTCTTTCTTTCCTTCTTTCTTTCTCTTTCTTTCCTTTCTAGCTGTAGAGGAGCTTAAGGCTTGGATAAGCACGCTAGATCTGGGTTCATTCAGAGATGTTTCAAAATTTGTCTTTAGGTTCATTTTTAAGCTTTAAAATCATTTTTAAACTTTATACTTTAACACTGCCAAAAAAAAAAAAACTAAACATGAAAAAAAATGTAAATCATCCTGTCGTGAGTACAGACTGCTACGTTGTCTCACTTATTTTTTTTTTTGTCATTTCATTTTTGCCTCCGTTAGAATTGTTCACTACAAAACCAAAAATATTGTTTCACTATTAATCTGACTTTACTCAGCTGCAAACAAAAACCTGTTGAAATGGATCAGTTCATGCATTGTTGCCGAGTGACGATTTATTTTATCGAGGTGTTGAACCTTAGGATGATTTTATCCCTGATGATTTGGGTTAACATAAAACAAAAAAAAACATTTGTGTGTCCGTTTTCCTAGAGGTTTTAATTTGACTTTAATTGCTGTTTTGTATATATATATATATATATATATATATATATATATATATGAGTGGATCAGGGGAAAACAACCCGCTCTGCTGGTCAGGTATTGGAATTGACCCGAACGTGAAGTTGAATGGGTTCAGTGTCACAGTGTCAGTAACCAAATGCGTGAGGCGTGAACGTTTCCCCCCCTGAGGGCTTTCTGTGGTTTGTAACGCCGTGTTGAAGTTCCTGCTTTGTCCCTCTGGTGGACGTCAAAACGTCACGCAATCATAATAAAATATTCAGTCTGTTTTATTGATTTCTCCTTTCTAAATCATGGATTTTATCAGGATTTTTATGAGGCCTTTGGGTTGTTTGTGTTGAAAGTGTTTGTGGAGCAACTTCTTTATGGGCTGCCTTTGTCCAAAGATGTTGATCCAGGTTTTTGTTTGTTTGTTTCTTCTTTTCTGCCTTTTCCCTTTTGTTTTTCTCCGCCTGTTTTTTCTCGTAACGTTTGAACGTCAAACGTGGGACTGAAGTCTTTAGGCTCTGGTGCAATAAGTGGACGTTTGAAACCTTTCGGGAACCGAAAGCACACCCTGTGTTTATGTGTTTGTGATTTTTCAGAATTGGAACAAAGTAGAGGATTCTCATGCTTAATAAGTGCTGTACATATCCATTTAATAAAAAAACAACTTTTGTTAGAATATGGCTTGTTTTTATGTTTTTTTGAAAATAATTAAATTTTCTGTGGATATCATGATGGGAATTGAGTCGACGTCTATTTATAAAGCACTTTAGAAACGGCTATTAACTGCACCAAAGTGCACATGTAAATTAAAGACAGCACAACTAGGTTGCAATGCCAGGCCTTGTCATGTCATGTAAAGACCAATAATTAAATTTTTTAAGGAGTGATTTGATTTGCTCATGCTTTTCAAATCTGAAGAAAAAATAAGTGTGGGGAATTGTTAGTTTAAAAAAAACAAAAAGTGAAGTCCTAATGCGACTCCCCAGTTCGGTGTTAAGTTTTTAAGGTTGTCTAATCACTGAGGTTCTCTGATCCCATAAGTTCAAAGGTCAGTTGTTGATTTAGATTGAAGGATCTTGTGATCTGGTGAGGATCAGAGGATAGACAACAGACTCAATGAGTATCTTCATGTGAGTTTGCCAAGACTCCACATTAGCTTTTCAAAGGTTGTCAAAAACCATTGCTTGGCATTTTAAAAGAAAAAAATTACAAAAGAAAATTTTGAGTTGGAAGAGTTTTGTTTGCTCAAATACTGCAGGAAAAAAAAATCTCAAAACTATTTTTTTCAGAAGTAAATTCTAACTGAAAAGTCAAATTTGCTTGAAAAATCTACACAATTTGTTCGTCAAAACGTGTTCGCAAAGAAATTACATTTTGAGAAACGTAATTTTTTCAAAATATGTTTTACCTTTAACATTTACGTTTGAGAAATCAAACTTGTTACAGAAAAGAAATTTTTACAAAATGAGTTTTTGACTTCTCATTTTTTCCAGAAACAAAATTCAAAGATTCAGTTTGACAAAAAAAAAGTGAGCAGGCCAAAACTTGCTCGGAAAAGCAAATTTGTCAAATTCTTTAGCAATGTTTTTTTTTTTAATGTCTGAAAAGTTCAAAATTTGCTAGAAAAAGTTTGAAACATCTAAATTTTGCCCAAATTTATCTTATATTTTTTAAAAAAGTTTAAAAAGTCAAAAATTAGGAGGGCGTTCCAGTTGATTTTTCCAGTTCTGAGCTCAACCAGCACAGCATAACGATATTATTGCCAGTGAACTGAACTGACTGAAACTCTGTGGAGAATCCATGCCACGCTGCACTGACGCAGTAACACAAAACAATTACAAGTAAACTGTCCAGTGATAATTGAAATGCAACAAGACGATCAGTTTAAGAACATTTTATAAGTTGAATCAACATTCCTCTCTCTTCATGTCATAATAATCATATTAATACAGCTTGAAAACAAGTTTGAAGGGTCGGTGTTTGTTTAATGTACAGTTCCGAAACACATTACAAAGTTCAGAAAAGCTCAACGGGCAGCGTTTATTTACAACATCTCACTTTGCTACGAGTCAAAAATTGAATCTTTGTACAACAGAGATAAACTCAAAACATCTGGAACCCTCCGTCCAGAGGGAAGACGCGTCCCTCAGCGTTCAGTCCTCCAGGATGTAGTTGGGGTTGACAACCAGGACGCTTTCTCCTTCCGGGCTCTCGGACTCTGAACCACTCAGCCCTGCCTGAGACAACTCGATCAGGATGTGGTCCTGATGGGGAGAGGGTGGCAACAAAACAAAAATAAACGTCATCCATCCTGAATTCAGTGTCGAGGACAATAAGATTTCAAAAATGTTCTTAAAATAGTTAGAAGTCGACTCACGTAGTGGACCAGGCGGTGAATGACCTTCTCTATCAGCCCCTTCCTGTTGATGAGTTCTTCCTCGGAGTCGATCTCCGACTCGATCTCTTTCAGATACCAGTTAACCACCGCAGTCTTCTTCAGCTCCTCCTCTTCTTCAGCTGCGTTATGAATTAAAAGACGGCGGAGAAATAGGGATGAGCAACGTGTGTGTGTGTGTGTGTGTGTGTTGGTGGTGGTAGAATAAATCGTGTATTCCTCACCGTCCTCGGCTCTGCGCAGATGCAGGACCAGCAGGTTGGAGATGCGCTTGTACTCGGCGAACGACAGGCGAAGAGACGGCCTGGGCTGCGCGCCCAGCTCCGCGTGTCCGTTCACGCCGTCGACGTCTCCGTTCACGTGGCCGTTGACGCCGTTTGGGACGTCGTTGCCTACAGAGGGAGACGCGTTACAGTCCAGCAGTTAATCGCACGACACATTAAAATGAGCCTGTTGTTTTGTGTGTTGTTGTTTGGACTTCTTGATGCATTTTACTTGCGTGTGGGATTATATTTCCTTTTTATTTATAGTTTTTGTTTTATTTTGGAGATTTAGGACGGCTTCCAGTAAAGAGATGTGCTCTGTGGTGACGTTGAGATGAATGGACTCGGTAGAAATCAGGCACTTTTTGAGAATTTTGAGGGTACGATTTCAAACTTTTTGGAGGTAAGAGTTTAAATTCACTACAAATCTGATTCATGTGGAATTCAAGCATTTCCAAAGATTTCAAACATACAATATATAAAACTGAAATGGTCTTAAAACAATATTATCGTTTATCACAATAAGTTCTGGTACAATTCATTGTCCAGTAAAATTTGGAACTAAATACACGACACACTTTTTCCTTCCACTAAACTCGTCAATAGTTGGCACTTGTTTAGCAAAGACAGTTTTGCGGTGTAGCCAAGTCTGTCTGCATTAAAAATCCCAGGTTACAGGCTTTGATTCGACGTGAAAAACAGAAAATATCAAATCTAACTGTTCAATCAACCAGCAACAAAACATTGCCACAGAAACGTCAAACTATTGACCGTACCGTCCTCCTGCTGGGGCTCTTCCTCCATCTCTTCCTCCTGCTCCAGGTTGATGTCCGGCGTCTCCACCCTGATGATGGACTTGTTCAGAAGACGGAACGCTTCCTTCACGTGTTTGGGCTGCACCTGGTTGCACGAAGAGACGGCGGCAAGCCGGCGCAAGTTAGGCAACGGCTGACAAAAAAAAAAGGGGGGGGGGAGATTTCCTGAGGAGATTTCACACGCGTTACCTCGTCGCAGCAGTGCATGCGCGCCATGGCCTCCGAGAGGCGGATCATGCTCTCCAGCTGCCGCACCGTGATCCTCCAGGCGGACTTGGAGACGCTGCCGGAGCCGTCGCGCTGGCGGAGACGCTTGTACTGCTCCACAATGAACTCCTCCGATTCGCTGGAGATCTACGTTGGGACGCGAAACAGAGAGGACGAGCGTCTTTAGTAGAGCTCAGACTCACTTTAACCATAAACCCAACATAATGTGAGATTTTATGACTTTCTTTGATAGACCGACATTAAGTTAGCAGTGCAACTTCTCCCTCATATCGACCCAAGCAGCGGGGATTTGAATACGTTCGCTGGATTCTTACGCCACACACTGAGAGACTTGACGTCGCGATACATGGGAGTTTGTAGAGTTTCTACAATTGGCCAAAAGGTAAACGATGGCGGAAGGAGCTAGGCTCCGCCCACCTTGGGCTTGAACTGCCGGGCGAAGAGCAGGTATCTGCGGATCTCGTCCAGAGAGTAGAGCCTGTCCACAGACTCCTCCACGCGGGAGTGCAGGTCCACAATGCGCCTGGCGATGGCGTAATCTGTGACCTGGGGACACACAAACGTCTGTTGGATCAGACGACTTTTCTTCTTCGACAGAAGAGACAGGACAAGCACCGCAGCTTGAAAACACAAACAGGCGATTTAACAAAACATGGACGACGGGACGAAGCGGCGGATGAAGAGCGGAGGGCCGCACCTCGTTGCATTCGTCCACCAGGATGAAGAAGAGGTCGAAGCGGCTCATGATGGGGGCCGTCAGGTTGACGTTCTGCTTCAGGCTCTTGCTGCGGTCGTAGCGCCCGCTGACGGGGTTGGCGGCGGCCAGGATGGAGGTGCGGGCGTTCAGGGTGGCCTGCGGCGGGAAGAGGACGAGTCTGAAACCAAACTCCTGTACTCTAACTTTTGGGGTTTTGTTGAATACTTTTAACATTTCAGCCACAAAGGATTTCAGTCGAGAAGCTAAAACTACTTGAAAACTTAAGGAAAATAACCGTTTTGTTTTTTTTAGCACTTGATCTGAATCTTTGGGAGCCTGTCAGAGCTCCACACTGCGGATGAAGCAATTAGTCCAATTGATTGTGAAGAATCGATTATTGACATAATTGTCAGTAAATTGTTAACTGGAGAATACAGACTAAAAAAAAGTCCTCCTGCTGGACACGTAGCAGTAATTTAACGTAAACTATACAAACATAAATTTTGCATTTAAGAGAAAATCCCCTCTTTGTCTCTCTGAATAAAACAAATAAATAAATGTGATTGATCGCCTGCTGCCAGGCAGCGTGGCGCCGTCTGAGGGGTGTGTCACCTTGACTCCGGCCTTGGTGATGCTGATGGTCTGCTGCTCCATGGCTTCATGGATGGCCACCTGATCCTTCTGGTCCATCTTGTCGAACTCGTCGATGCAGCACACGCCCTGGGAGGAGAAGGCGGACCGTTACAGAACGTCCTGCCGAAGGACAGCGGGACGCGTACCGACTGCTGAACCCTCACGTTGTCGGCCAGCATCAGAGCTCCGGCCTCGATCACGAACTCGTGGGACTCCTCGTCGCGGACCACCGCGGCGGTCAGACCTGCGGCGCTGCTGGCCTTGCCGCTGGTGTACACCGCTCTGGGACTGAACTCCTCCACATGCCTGAGCGAACGCACACACACACACACACACACACACACACACAGGTGGTGGTTAAGGTCTGAATGGCGGCGAGTCGACGTATTTCTCCACGCGTGCGCCATACTTGAGGAACTGGCTCTTGGCGGTACTCGGGTCTCCGACGATGCAAACGTTGACGTCTCCCCTCAGCGAGGTTCCCTCCATGGTGGTCTTGGGAACGCCTCCGAACAGCATGAGCAGGATGCCGCGCTTCACCTCGTCGTTCCCTTAAACATCAACCGTAAGCAGTCAGCTGAAAGGTCACAGGCCGTGTGGGGGTCAATGTGGGGGGGGGGAGCCCGGGCGGAGGCTGGAGCTCTGACCGTGGATGGTGGGGAAGAGGCTGGTGCACAGGTTGTGGTACAGGTTCTTGTCCTGGCTCATCTCAAACACTTTCTCCCACTCCTTCTCCGTCATCTGGCTCTTGATGCTTTCGGCCGTTTGCTCCTCGTCACGCAGCTCCTTCCCTCCGAACTGCAACAGGGAGAGGCGAACGGGGCAAGTCACATTATTAGATTATTAGATTTTGCAGCTCAGATGTTTAAATTTAAGACTGGAGACTGTTTGCTGAGGAAAGCGCAGACACATGTGGCGAGGCTACGCCAGACGCCAACAGTGTGAGGAGTTCGGTTGAAGTGCGCGTTTCTTACTCGTGGGTTAGTCGGCGCCACGTTGCAGGCCAGGAAGGCCAGTCTGTATGACAACTCTCTCACTCCCAGAGCCTTCAGTCCTCTCAGCCCCTCCGACTCCAACCCCTGAGGGCGTCCAGGGACGCGGGTGCTGGTCTCAGCTCGCACGCCTAAAGAGATTAAACCAGTGAAAAACGCTCGCCAGCATCCACACGGTGACATCAGAAGTGCTTCAGCGCCTGGGTTTTAACCCCTGGGTTTTAACCCCTACCAGGAGTGCTGAGCTGGGAGACGTCCGGCACGACGATGAGGGTCCCCGTGAAGTCGCAGCGGTCTCCGGCCTGAGCCGTCTCCACGGCCTCTGCCCTCAGGATGATCTCCAGCGAGCGCGGGATGGAGCCTCGGGGCAGCTCCGCCTGCGTCTCCTGGATCCGCACCTGCAACAGAACGGATCAGACGCTTGCGGTCTGGGAGTCGTTTGGGAGCGCGAAGCCCCCCCTTCACGCTACCTTCTGGAAGTCGATGAACTTGGACTTGTGCGTGTCCAGGTGGAAGCGGGAGCGGTTGTTGCAGACGGGGTTCCTGCAGATGGTCGGCGGGGAGTATTTGAACTGCTGAGGGACGTCTTTGATCACCGCCTGGCAGTCCATGCACAGGAAGGTGCCGCTCACCTGCAAAGAAAAGGCACAGGAAGCAGGAAGTGCTTTCAGGTCAGAACGTCAAAAACGTCAAAGTGTACAGGAGTTATCTTACCAGCTCAGGGTGGACTGGGTGCGTCCTCACCACCTGACCGCTGATCTTCACCAGGGCGCCGATGCGCATGGAGGACAGCTCCCGGATCCTACATTTACAGACCGCAAATTAACAGCTTTCCCCTAAAACAAACCCAGCTGGTTGAGCACTGGACGGTGCCTCACTTGTGTCTGGTGGGCAGATCCTCAATGGCCACGTAGAACTCTTTGTTGAGGGGAACGTTCCCGTGATCCCGGGCAAAGTTGCGAACAGCCCGGCAGAGGAAGGGATACACCCTGGGAACAGTGAAAGACCTCGATCAGCCTGGGGTTGTGGTGGTGGGTTCGGCCCTTCCACAATGAATCCACGCTTCACTCACCTGTAGTACTCCTCCTGGATGGTGGTGGCCAGTTCCTGGTTGAAGCCCTCCAGGTCCAGGAAGCTCACCAGCAGGGTGTTCCTCTCGGGCCTGATCAGCTCCTCGGCCTCCCGCACGTACTTCACCTCCCCGTCCCCGGTCTGAAACCTGCGCGGCACATAAAACTCTCATCAGTCCAGCCGTCCGGGCCTCCGCGCCTCCTCCTCGTCTCATCCTCTACTTACTCCTCCAAGAAGGCCTGGAATAACTTCTGGCACTTTTCGGCCAGCTCGTCCTTCACGGTGGTCCCGGCATTCTCCGCGGTCGCTGTGGCAACGTCCATGACGCAACGCCTTCAAAACTGCAGGCAAAAAGACTTTGAGAAAGCGCAAAGTGAGGAACCGTTCCGCAGCGGCAGCTCGTCTCTTCCTCCCGTCCTCTCAGCACGCTAGCAGCCGAGGAAAGTTTTTCGCGCGGAAAGTTGGGCCACGTGACGTTTGGCGCGCCGCTCTCGGCCAATCGGAGCCGCCTTGTACTTACATTTCCGGTTTGTAGCCAAACAGAGGAGGAAACGTCACAATGACGGGGCGGCGTGTTTCCTGCTGCAGTTCAATGGTGGAAAACCATTGAACTGCATATAATATATATTATATTATATTATATTATATTATATAATATAATATAATATAATATAATATAATATAATATAATATAATATAATATAATATAAATAAAATAATTGTTGAAGTTTTATTATATTTATTTAACACAACAGCTTTCAGAATGGCTTAGCTAGCAATTAGCCTACAGCACATTCGGAGAATATTAATTTCAAAACAATAACCGGAAATACATCCGTTTATTTTGATTTTCCATTAAAAAGCAAATGTCAACATAAACATTTCATGGTCAAAAGTAAAGCTGTTGCGATGCTATTTACTGGTGGCATGTTAAAAGGTGACTTTGCTGACCCTGGAGATAAAATAAAAGCTGCGTGTACAGCTTAGGAGTCAACACACACACACACACACACACACACACACACACACACACACACACAGCAACTTTTGTAATTACTAAAATGTTGTTTTTTTTCACCTGATATGTGTGGTGATATGAAACCATCTCAAAACATTAAGACATACTTGAAATAAATAATATGTCATCTTAAAAAATAAAAAATAAGAGTAAAGATCTCATTTCAAGCTGTTGCTTTTAGCTTTTGAAATGTATTTTAACTGAAAAACTTTCAATGAAAACCTTTGGCACAGCAGCTTCTTGGGTGCGAGAAGCTGCCACTAGTTATACAGAAACCGATTGAATATGGACACATGTTTAGAAATGGTGCAAGGTTTAAAAACCAGGCCAGGCTGGACAGTCACCAGCGGTTTGGGGAAATGTGAGCCTGTGCTTGAGTTTGTTGTGAAGCGTGAAATGTTTTGGCCTAAAAAATCTTTAAACCTTGTCCTGCAACCTCAAGTTGACAAGCTAATTCTCCCCCATCTCCCCCACTCTTTATATTTATCCTACCAATCTGTTCAGGGTGACTGTGGCCCCCAGTTTCAACGCACAGCCAAGTAAAACTAGCTAGACATGATGCACACAAGCTAAAGTGCTGCTCAACAATCACACACGCACAAACTACTTCAATAGCCCAATATGGACCTTATGAGATTTGAATAATTATGATATACCGCAACAGAACTTATATAGCTAGAATAAATCATATAGAGTTTCATGACTGTACTCAAAGAAACGACAAAAACTTCAAAACAATTTGATCTATTCTATCCTAGAGGGAATAAAAAACAATTGTTGTTGCAATTCCCTCAAACGGCCGCTTGATGGCGTCGATAGCTTAAGATATTTAAGCAAATTCCTGACTGTTTGATTACAAGGCAACCAATAAAAAAATCCCGATAAACTTTATAAATAGTATAGTCAGTTGCATTAAGATAAAATACCTCCTGACTTTAACTCCTTTCACCCAAACAAAATTTCACTTCCGGCTTCTTTAAAAACTTATGGCAGCGACGTGGCATGAAGCACATAAGAAAGGAAATGGGCTCTTGAACAATTAAAACAGTAAGATCATTTGGAGCTCTTCTAGCTCCATTAGTGAACTAATTATTAGTTGCAAATAAAAAGCAGATTGGTTGCTTACTGGTGCAGAAGGTTTTGGATTTAAATTCCTGTCAGGGCCTTTGTGCTTTGAGTTTGCTTCTTCCTGTGCACACATGGGTCTCTCTGGGTATTCTGGTTTCTTCCCACTGTCCAAAAATATGCGTGGTAGTGTAATTGGCCCCTCTAAATTGTCCCTGGGGGTGAGTGTGTCAATGAACAGTTGTCTGTCCTGCACGTCTTTATGTTGCTCTGCGAAGGACTGGCAAATCTTTCTCAAAAACCCGTGACTTTTGTTGGTAGGCCACAGCCCCTAAGCAAGGGTAAAGGGGTATGAAAAACAATCCTGTGTCGAGTTTCTTCTCAGCATCCCAAAAAAGCCAACTGCCAGGGCCTTGCACAAGAATATTTGCACAGATTTCTGGGACAAGAAAAAATATCCTGGTTGGCCTCTGGTCCCTCTCTGCGGCCTTCTGTCCCGGCACCACATGAGTTCGCCTCTGAAACTCATTGATCTCTATTTTAGTGTTCACACAATTCTCACGCCTACACCTGCGGAGGTCAACTCAGTCACCCCTGCCAGGCTATTGGTTTCACCTGTCACATTGTATGGACCTGCCAGGAACAAGGCAGGAAGCTATTGTGGACCATTTGGACACAGCCCAGCCTCTCTCCCCTTTTTGACTTCTTCTTTTGTCTTGACCTCTGGTGTTCCCACAATTGTTCGGCGACAGGAAGCTCAGCTCATATGAATATGAGGGAACCCGACCATCTGTAAGGCAAAACACAAAAGCCCACTGACACTCCCCAGCACTGCCACGACTGTTGCTGCAATGTTTGGGGAGAATCAAGAAACCAAAAGAGGTTTTATCACCTCCAAAAATTGGGTTTATCACCAATTCTTTGGAGAGTCCTTTGGGTGCATTGTAAAATAGACCGAGCCCAGCGCCGGCTAGTTATATCTGGTGCTAAATACTGACAAAGTGCAACATTCAACATTCAAGACTTAGGCACAGATAAAATAGACGTTGAACCTGCTTGTCCAGAAACATGAAACGTTTGATGCCATCAGGCCAGATTGAGCAGGTGAAAAAATAAAACAATGGGAAGAAACTGTTGCACGAAAGGCAGGATATGAACAAGAAGTGGGGGGGAAAAAAGTTTAAAGGAGGCTGTTTCCTGGTGCGTTTGTGTTCTGGCTGTGACACATTGTCTTCATTTTGGTGACGTGCTTCTTTGCACTAAATTTGAAACCAAACTCGGTCAAATGAAGGGTTTTAACATTCACGGCAGACGAACCGATCCGCTCTTTTTCTGGGCCTCGATTTTACGCCACCGAGAATCCTTGAAGACGTATTTACACCTTCAACGTTGTGTCAGACTCATTCCTTCTTTTCCAAATATATACAAAGCGAATGTTCAGCCATGGTTCTCCAGCCTCTGTTAAACATACTTTTTGGCTCATTTTATCTGAGATAAATGATTTCAAGTTTGAGAAATTCATACAAACGCTTGTTCCTCGTTCCAAATACGTGAAACGAGCGATTTGTGTTCATTTCTGACAGCATTAGTTAGTACTTTGATGGATCTGTAACACTTGAAAGCAGATCTGTGTAACTCATCAGATACATTATGCCGTGTTTTGGTGCTTCAACATGTCAGCAGGGTAACTTTTGCGGAATAAGATGAAAGAACAGGACGCTAACAGAAGTATTAGCTTCCTTACATGCATTTGTTTTTCTCTGCAAATATAAAACAACACGTCAAATCTCCTTGCTTTTCAGCATTGCTTTTTTTTTTGTTTTGTTTTCTTCCTTATTACCAAACTGTTAGCTTAGCTCATCAGCATGTTGTGAAAACCCCTGTGTCTTGTAGCAAAATTTCTTTCTTAATTTTTGTATGTGGCTCAAAAAAATGTCCATCAAATCTGGTGTCGGAAAGCAACGGCAGGAAAACAGAAATGTTTTGGGGAGAAACCCAGTCACGCCATTCGGCCTCATTTTGACCTGCTGATTAAAGAAAAACAACTTTAGCTTCCAAGTAATAACAGCAGAGTAATTTGAATATACTGAAGAGCAACACTATGTGGTTTATCACGTAACCCAATATAGTAAACATTGACTCTCTTACTGGAACTCGTTAAAAACTGCTTGTTTTTGTTGCGGCCATCTTGCTCCTTTTTCTCGTTTTAATCAAACATTTTTATTTTAATGAGAAGGTGGCTGGTGACCTCTGAGTCAAGTTAAGAAGCAAAAAAAAAAAAAAAATCCACCTCATCAAAACCACCAACTTTCTACCAGAGCGTTGGTTATTTGCGAAGCTGGTGTTTAGTGGAGCAGCTCTGGGTGTCGGTGAGAGCAGAGCTGCTCGGAGCGTTTTAATTGTTTTAACTGCTTGTTTTTCCTAAAATGAGCAGCAGGAAGTCTTTCCTGTTTTGAATACACTATGAATAGAAGTTGAATTGTGTGTGTTTTTGCTTCTGCCTATGCATTCGTGAACGTGTCCGTGGCGGATGGGAGACGCTTGTGGGGGGTTGGGAAGGATGGCAAACCGAAAACCAGGTAAGTGTGTTTTTCCACGCAGAGCTCTGCGGATACACGACCCACTTCAGACCTGGATGGTGTGGGTGATTCACGACTCGGCTGCCGCGGCCGACCCTTCAGCGTCTCCACGCGATGTGGTTCATTTTCCTTTCCTCTCTCACACAACTCTCTTCTTCATCACCTCCTCCTCGTCGCATCAGGAAGCAGGGACTTCCAGCTTCTGTTTCTGTCACTTCCAAGTGGAAGTAAGAAATGTGGGAAGCTCTCCGGTCAACATTGGGGCGTTGGAAAAGGTCAACCTCTTTGACCCGCTTGCTTTCCCCTCCTCTCCCACGTAGGACAGGCGAACTGTTCATGTGGCCAAAACAAACCGAGCTCGGTTTCACACACTGCGATTGAAACACACCTGGATATCGCAAAGCCGCTCTCGGGACGGTTTCGTTTCTCGAAGCCTCGCATCGGTGAATCCAGATGCCACGCAGCTCGGTGCTCACCAAGTTAACACAGCACAGGCTGCGCGAAGCACAACACAAGTCTTTCCAAAGAGCAATTAGGGATTTGAAGCTATGAGATAAGAGCAGCTATCAATGGAAGATCAGGTAGGGGGAAAAAAAAAGCTTAGTTTTGATTTCTACATTTCCTGTTACTGCTTTGAGATTTCTTTTAAATGTGTCTCCTCGTCTCTGTGCCAGACTCTGGAAGGACAGGAACTAATTTTTTTATGGGTTTTATGAGAATATCCAGCTGTGAGAGACTGAATGGGCAACCGGGGAATTCAGTCAGTTTCAGCCAGGAAGCACAAACAAAAACACACACTTTCATGACTTGGTTTTGTATACTTTATTAGAAACATGTACAAAGATACAATATGTACACATGCAGGGGCGCAACTTTGCACTTTCTGAAGTGTAGAAAGTGCATGTGTGATAGATCCTTTACACATGAACCAACAGCTGATAAATACAGAAAACACTGACTAGAGATCATTTCCACACAAGGTGCATGCCCATCATCTCTTTCCTTCATCCTTCCTTTTATTTATTTATTTTGTTATTTTGCGCCACCACACACAGGTGAATATGAATCATATTTACAAGTGAGACTCCACAGAGAAGGAGCAGTCATGGACCAGCAGGCTGCTCCTCATTATTCTCATAATGTCCTTAACTTTTCTTACATACATCACATGACATCTACAGAAGACAGCGCGGCTCGGAGGAACCTCAGCTGGAATGTAAACTGGAGGATTCCGTCTCGGGCGTCATCGACGTCCCGTTGCGTCTCCGCGGTAAAATCTTCAAACTGGAGGCTCGGCTCAGGGTCAGGGCCCTGCGGGCCGAGCTCTTGAAGCCGGCCCCCAGGAAGGCGTAAAGCAGCGGGTTGAGGCAGCAGTGCGCGAAGGCCATGGGCTCCGCCACGGACAGCCACACGCCCAGAGCCGCCTCCACCCTGCAGCACCGGGGCAGGACCTCCAGACGCAGCAGCGCGTCCACGGAGATCCCCGCTCCGTACGGGAGCCAGCAGACGAAGAAGCACAGGACCAGGGCGATCGTGGTCCTGACCGCGCGCCGCTTCTGCCTCTGGCCGCCCAGCGGGCCCGGCCGGGTCAGCCTGGAGACGATGACGCAGTAGCACACGAGAAGGACCAGGCCCGGAATCACCAGGCCCACCAGGACCAGCTGCAGGTGGAAGACGACCACCCAGACGGGAGCGTTGTCTTCGGGGTAGAAGCGCTGGCACACGGTGGCGCCCTCCCCGCCCTCCTGAGTCCGGGCAAATATCATGTCCGGCACGGCCAGCAGGGTGGCGGGCAACCACGCACCTGTGGAGCACAAGAGGACAAAATGAGGCTTCAAAACCCCGTTTGGATTTGTGGATCATTGCGCCATTCTCATCGGTAGCTGCGTTTCCGTTAATCATAAAAGTATGCAAATTGAAATTTCCATAAAAAAACAAACAAACAAAATCGTGCTAGGTTGAGCTGGTCTATTTTTTTAGTCATATTGAAATAGATGTGTTCCGTAAAACTGCAGTGTAAACACTTTCTTGGCATCCTAATCAACAGCCGGATGTTACTACTGGTGAAAACTACAAACAAGAGGACAGGAAGTAGGAGGACGCTGATTGGCTTATTAATATTGTTCAGTTTTGTTTTCAACTCCTCTGATAACTGATAGAGGGTGAGCGTGAAATAAAAATACATGCTGGTGTCATGTAAGTGTTTACATCAGTCTCTGCTGAGATCTTGAACGGCTTATGGCGTGAACATGCTTTTTCACTAAGAGGTTTGTAAAGCTGACTGTTGGGGAAAAAATGACAGCAATAATTTGGTTTATTTAGCTCATCATAAGAACAAAACAAAATGTTCTTTTTTCCAAGTAATATTTTCACCATATTATTCATTTGCTACATTGATAGATATCAGAGTTCCAAACTAAATATTTTCAGATTAAATATTTAGTTAGGAAGCTTGACATAGTTTCCAACTAAATGTTAAAGTCTGAGCAAAATACATCTTTATCAAAATTGATATTTAGCTCCAGATTAAATATTCGTTTTGCTAACTAAATATTTACATACAAATTAAATATTTAAACAGTGAAATATTCATTTAACTTTCAAACTAAATATTTAGTTTTCAGACTAAAAATTTGGCTCCAAATTGAATATTTATCAACTAAATATTTAATAGTTAATTAAATTTATTTAATTTTTTAAAAATTGCAGTTAACCTTTACAAATGACATCCCATAGAAACAATTTCACCGAACTCGTCAAATGTCAGAAAATCTATCAAGGAATCTTTTTATGAACACCTGTCGTTCTGTCTTGTGTTATTCTTTTTGACGATGACCTCAGATGACCCTTCTGGTTTTGGTTGGGTGAAAAGGAGAATGCAAATCCGCTTCTTGGTACTCACCCACATACACCGCCTTGTGTGCCAGCAGCTGCCTCAGCCCACCGGTGTTTGTGCCCGTGGCGCGGACCACTGCCAGGTAGCGGTCCAGGCTGATGAACGCCAGGATGAGCACGCTGCCGTACAGGTTGACGGTGTAGATCACGTGCACGCCGATGCAGGCGGCCCCTCCAAAACGCCAGTCCTCCAAAGCTGCATCCACTGCCCAGAAGGGAAGCGCCAGAACAAAGAGGAGGTCGGCGGCAGAGAGATGGAGGCGATACCAGTCTGTCAGGCTGCACTTTGACCTGCAGGCATGGATGGAATCTGATCAATGCACTCATTTTCTCTCTCGGTGCACCTGCTCCCGCTTTCCGGTCCTCTCTCACCTGCGCTGGCAGCCCAGCACCACGACCACCAGACCGTTTCCGGTTATGCCCAAGACGAAGATTATGGCGTAGACCACGGGCAAGAAGACCCGGTGAAGCTCGGCGGTCATCCCGTGCTCCACATTGCAAGACTCTTCCAGGTTCTCTCCATCATCCCAGAAGCCGGAACCGGAGCCTGTGTCGTTGAAGTCAAGGTAGACATGCTGAAGGCACACGGGAAAAGATGAAGAAAGGTTTATTCCCAGATTTGTGAGAGTTCTCTGAAAAGTTGCGGCGTGCAGCTGAGCCAAGCTTACCTCGTAGTACGACATGATGGAGGCGGTCTCCCTTCTCCTCAGAGTGAAGCCCACACTTCCTCCTCTGGGTTTTTTATAGCCGTGCTCGTGCTCCACCTCCAAACACCCCGATGCATCTGTCTGCCGGCTTTTTTCCTGTTTTCGAGGTGTCAGGTGTTAATACTGGATCTATCACAGGATACCATGTGTGTGTCTGAATTGTTTTAGCCCCGGAGACCTCTAGCTTGTAGTCATCAGGGTCAATTGGCAATAGGAAAGACCGCTGGTGAGAAGCAGACAAAATCTGTGTGTGTGTGTGTGTGTGTGTGTGTGTGTGTGTGTGTGTGTGTGTGTGTGTGTGTGTGTGTGTGTGTGTGTGTGTGTGTTGCTGGGCTACATCAGGACAAGCCAACAGTGAACGTATACGTGTGTCACTGTCTTGCACAATGCATGAAAGCATGTAGAAATGAACATGCATGAGAGGGAGAGAGATAGAGAGACCCCTGATGAAAACATAGAGTGTTACATAGTGTTACATCCTGTGAGATGACTATCGGACTTCCTCTGGTCAGTTCTGGTAAACACCAGGCTGCAGGACCTGCTCTGATCTTTGCCGGTGAAGCATCACGACAATCTGATGTCTCTGGCATCAGATTGTCACCTCTTCAAGAGAAAAGCGAAGGAGCGCTCTGGTTTATGCTTTACGTTTATGGTTTGTGCCAACCGATTCACTTAAGAAGGAACAGTTCAATTGAAGGGAATTTAATCTAATTTGACATTTGTAAGTATAGCACGCTTAGAAACTTTTCCCAGGAAGTTTTGGTGGATCCAGTCCGATCCGAAGAGCATTCACACACACTTTGTAAATCATATCAAATTATTCTTTTTCCTCAAAATTCTACACACCAGAACCTCATGATGACAATGATTTTGGGGATTTTTGCTAATTTATTAAACAGAGAAAGCCAAGTAATCACATTTACGCAAGTATTCACAGCTAAAACTTTGTTGATGCAGCTTGGACATCAATTACAGCCTTGACATTTTTTTTATATAATGTCTCCAGCTTCACCTGGTATTCACTCCAAGAGTTGAGTCTTTGTCTTAATAACATTAATAATAACGGACAACATTGGCAGTGGTCCGTGCCACGGGTAATAAGGGTGTAACATAGCAAAATGTGGGAAAAGTAAAGCATTGTGAATACTTTCTGAATGCTCTGTGTGTCGTCCAAGTGTCTTCGGTCACTGTGGATGGTGATGCTGTGGTCAGGATGGATCTTTTAGACGTTCAAACGCTAATAAAAAACAACCCACAGGCATTTTAAAGAACATCCTTTAAATGATACGTCCGATCCACATCATGTCTTCAAGCGGCTTATTCGAATAAAGGCCTGCATTCCTATCTCCCATCTGCATCTGATGCAGACTCAAGTGTCTCTGCAGACACATTTCCTGACTCTGCTTTGACTGGAAATCTCCATCCTCTAACAATTCACTTAACCCATAAGTAAACAGTGAGCCTACTCCAAAACAAACTTTTAAGAAAACTGTCACAAGCGTTCCCCCCTGGCCTCTTATCTTTCTCACTTTCCCCCCACCCTTCCTCAATGTTCTCTGCTATCAGCAACAGAAAATCTCCCAAAACACACCACCGCTTCGCTGTTTGGGGGAAAACATGCAAGTTATTAAAAAATATACATTTTTGATACAACTTCTTTTTTCAGAAAAAACAGCTTTCTGCAGATAAACTCGTGAATTCCCCGCATGTGTGACAACAAAGGATATTTCTATTATTCTTATAAACGTCTTATTAATTATTTTTATTTTCCCCCTCAAAAAAAAATAATTGCAGTTTTCTTTCAACACAACAAATTACTTGTTACCTGCCTGTGAGACAAAGAATTAAACTGATCAGTATTTGGGAGGTGGCGCCACCTGGTGGACTGAAATGCTTGAAGCAAGACTGTGATTTAAAAAGAAAAAAGAAAAAGCTTAGTTAAAAAAAATTAGAACTGTTGCATTCTCTGCAATAATACAGTTGTAATGCAATATGTTGCATCTAATAGTATTAGTATAATTGAGAAGCAGTTGAGCAATTATGCTGTATGTGGATCAAGATATTTTAAGTACTTTGTGACAGAAATAAGTAAAAAAAAACTCCCATACCAAAGTACAAGTAAACGCCTTACCATTAATGTACAAAGTCTTAGACTTCTCTTTATGCTTTCAAAATCCAAGTACACTTCACTGTGCAAATCCTAAGCATTCACAATAAACATTTTGTTCTATCATTGGCATTTTCTTGAGTTTCATTATCAGTTAACTTTGCACGAACAAAGAAAACAACACCTTGTTTTTGGTGTACCTAATTTTGAGGTCACACCTTGTAAAGACGTGTGAAGTCTTAAAATGACAGATGTATTGCATCATCAAGAAATCTTATGCTGAATTTAACAAATAAACTTCCTTTTTCAAAACAAGTAAGTTTTGTTTTGAAAACAAAACCCCCCCCCCCCCAAAAAAAAATGTGCCACATCAACTGGTGGTAAAAGTATTTTTTTTTAAGTTAAATAAAAAGGCACACAAAAAAAAAAAACTGTGACAAAGAAGTCTGACCGAGAAGTAAAAAGAGGTGATAGAAAATATTGTCAATATTTACACCATCAATTGTTTCTGAAACTTCCAAGGTTTGCAGAAAAAAAAAATGCTGCTTCTGTTCTGGAGATGACTGTGCAAATAAGGATTCTTCATAAAAGCGACGAAATTGAGCAACAATGCCAAACATCTTCCTTGTGAGATGCAGCAACAGCAACACTGACTGCTACAGGATCCTTTCTGCCCACAGCCATCCACTTCCATGACTCTTTGCATCACCTTGTATGAGTCATACTTCATTTTCCTCTAGGATTAATAAGTTATTTTATATATTGTATTAGCATTGTGGTGGTTTTTCACCCCCAATTCAACAAATGTGCTCAAATTAGTAATAAAAGCAATAAAAAAGCAAAAGATAAACTGGTAAAAATGTTTAAATACATTTATTATTCACAGTTAAGTTGCATGGGAATTTCAATTTACTTTTAGCAAAATAAAACAAGAAATAAATGAGCACGAAAAGTTGATGGAACTGCAACGATTCTTTAAGGAAAACAAATCCAGCAGAATTAGTTAGCAAACTCAAACAACACTTCAAAAACATAAAGTTTAAATAATCAGAGGCCCTCGATAAAGACTCCGTGTTGTTAGGATGTTTCTCTGATGATCATGCTGCTGGTCCCCCGCAGCTGAACGAGAAGATCTCTGAACTCGCACGTCTTCTTCGGTGCTCTCATCGCAGCTTGGACCGCCGCCGGTGCTGGGGCCTTCCGGGCCCCTGATGACGGAACGAGTCCAGTCACACCGCTCTTAGAACAACCCTCCGTTTCTGGACTTATTTGATCTCTGAGGTCGCTGCCGCTGCCAAAGCTCCTGTTGGGGTTGTCGACCAAGCCTTTTGAATTTGTGTGCTGGTGCAAACTGTTGTTTTGGAGACGCTGCTGCTTAGCTACGCGGGAACCTTGAGAACGACCGGTCCTCTTCCTCCTCCTCTCTTTCTTCTTCTGATTTTCTGCCATGGAACTGGCCCGTCTCAGGTTCCTGGCACGGACGGAGAATCACATATGAAGCTGTTTTATATGACGGCGTGGAAGTGCTACATCTAAAACACAAACATTTCTGAGCTTGAGCTCAAAAACATTTTCCTTGTTCTTTCTAGATTTCTTTTGGGACAAAAATGTACTCTTCCTTTTTTTTCCCCATTACATACAATGAACCCTAATTCATCATTGTTGCTTTACATGACAAATAACAAAACTGAAAAAAGTAAGTCCAGTTTACCTCTTGAGGAAAATGTGCGGCCTGGAACAGGGTGAGGATTGTTCTCCTCGTCTCACAACGATTCCATCATCCAGCTGAATGTGACTTAACGACTTCCTGTCAGCACACAGGCAACATAAGCATGAGCGTGAGCAGCAGCAGCTATTATTAAACACGCCTTCAGGGGTCTTACTGTCTGGCAACAGGTCGTCCTTTAGGCTTCCATCTTTTCATCAGAACCCATTGGTCACAGGTCAGAGACTTGGGATCTGAAAGAAAAACCAGACCGTCAGAGTCCATGTGAGACGGGTAGGGGGGAGTGGAGGAGGGGGGGTTCGATATTTCTTATTTCAGCGGCTTTCTTTAACAGTTTATGTTGAATAAGAGCTTTTTTGTGAATGAAGGTACAATAAAGAGGATGAGGTGAACCCTGACCATAACTATTCAGATAAATAACGGCGCACACTACCATTAATTGCAATTAATTTGTCATTGTAATAATTGTCAACTAATTTAGTAACCGATTAAATCGCTAACTGGACTACACAGACTCAGAAAAAGGTCATTTACTGAAAGAAACAATACATTCAAGCAATAATTAAGCCAGAACTGAACAAAATTCATGTACATTTGGCAAGATAGAATGTACCAATTTTTTAAAATCAGATTAATTTCCAGCATAATTAATATAGTAAATAACTAAAATAAGTGTTGAATGCAGCCCTACTGAATAGGCACAATGTTATGACCAGTTCCGATTATCTTTTCCACCTGGAAATTAATTTATTAGAAAAAAAGCAATTGGACGAGCATGAAGATGTGAGCGAGTCAGGCGAGACAACCTGATGCATTGTGGGAAAAGTGTAAGGAGGCAGCGGCAGCGCGACGCTTTAGCGGATGTGGTTCTGCTTGGAGATGTTTTTTCCAGGAGTTATTGGAAATTATGAATGAACAAATATACTTTATTATACGTGACATAATTAATGATTATGTCACGGAAACGGTTTCCTTCCCTAATTTCAGGAAATACTTCTCTAATCTAATAAAAGATAAAAGTCTTAAACATACTTTTCATTAAGCCCACATTTCTGTATTGAAATTTTTTTATGTCTCATTGATCTGGTGTAATATTCAAATTTTAAAAGTCATGTTTTCACTAACTGTAAGCAGATAATCATAAATCCCCCCCTCAAAAAAATCTGCAGCAGTGTTAGAGTCCTTATACTTTAAACCACTAACGCATTTCTATTTTCTCATCCACAACTTTTTACACCATACTTTACTTTTTAATTTCTCTTAGCATAGAACTTGTATGAATAAACTAACCGTTATCTAGAAGTTTGCTTCTGATCGGCGCCTTCAAACGTTTAGCCTTCTTGTAGAGATTGTGGCAAGCCGAGCAAAGGTCACTGTAAAACTCGTCTCTGTAATCGCAGCACAGAGTGGACGGGCCGGAAACTATGCTGCTGTTGCTGCTTTCAGAGCCACTTTCGTCGTTTGACTTATCCAGTCCATAACTGAGCGTGCCAACAGCCATCCTCGCCGCCCCTTCCTTGGCAAAAGGGTGACTGGCGATGAGGTCGATGATGTCACCTTCCTCGCTCACATCTGCCTGGGTCTCGTCCAACCGCTGCCTTCGTCTCCGGCTCCGACGGCGAGGCCGAGCCACATCTTCGTCTGATGCAGGACTTTTCTGGGGGAATTGGAGTCTGGAGGGTCGTCGGAGAGACATGGTCGCTGGCCAGTTCAGGGTGTACTCAAATGATCTGTGAAAGAGCAACAGCGATTAATTACAAGGGTAAATGTTACGCTGTTCCCTCTGAATGAGTGAGCTAAAGTAAGGACTTTTATGCGTTTCCTTTCAAAATCTTATCAGCTTACCTGTAATATTCGACTTTTATGGACACTGACTGAGATGCATCAAAGTCAGTTGTATCATACCTGCAATATTTGGAGACAAATAATAATAATTATGGCAGATATAGAAATATTACAGCTGCAGATTAGCTAAAACATCCCTGTTTCCCTTAGATCAATATTTTCTTGACTTAATATTTATTCTTGATATGTTATGATACTGAATGAAAATGAAATTCACAAATTTTAGGACACATTTGTGTTAGGTTAATGCAGTGCTTCTCAAATAGTGGGGCGGGCCCCCTTTGGGGGGCGCGGTGCGATACCTGGGGGGGCGCGTGTGATCCTGGGGAACAGGCTTTTTTTTGGCCGAACTAGTATAAAGTGTAATTGCGCACAGTAGGCGGCAGTGGCGCTCTCATTGTTACTTCTGTCACGTTTGCGACAGTGCAACATTTTACGACTTACAAGACAACAGGTTTGCCTTGGTTAGCAGTGTTAAGTCAACAAAAAGCTCCGACTGCGTTCTGTCTATGGCCTCCGTTATTCAACAACCCCAACATGAAAAAGTTTTTCACAGGGATGAAAAGAAAAGCGGAGAGAGACAAAGATAATGAGAACAGAAAGTCAACCGAAAGCTAAGAAGAGGAAATACGACGAAGCCTATTTAGCGCTTGGCTTCACTGTGACTACAGTTGGAGAAGAGGAAAGACCGCTGTGTTTGCTGTGTCTAAAAAATGCTCGCAGCGGACAGCATGAAGCCAAATAAATTAGCGCGTCACTTAAATACGTTACATCCCAATCACGTCGATAAGCCGCTAGAGTTTTTTCAGCAAAAAAAATGTTAATAAGGAAAAAATGTTATGCAGAGATGGATAGTCACGGTGGGGAGTGGGGGGCGCGAATAGTTTTCTTCTTGCTAGGGGGGGGCGTAACGGAAAATAATTGAGAAGCACTGGGTTAATGTATTGTAACCCAATGAACGATTGATAGAATATCATGGCTAAAATCAGTATGAAGTCAACTTATATTATACAATGACGACAGCCAAGCGAAAAAGACTCGCGTCTTCATCGAAAAAGTTAACTTCCGGCGAAAATTAACACTTTGGTTCAGCTAAAGTTTGACCAAGCTAGGCTAAAAACAAACAGAACATCCTGAGCGCCAAGTTCGCCGCTCTCGATCGAACCGTGTTCAGGTTTTAAACTCACGTCGGCTCACTTCCCTCACAGTTTTCATCTTCAGACATGCTCCTAGCTGCTTCATTCGTCTGCTTAAATTAGAGGAAGGGAACCGCGCTTACATATCGGCTCGCGCTGGGATGCGCAGCTCTCGGACGGCATCTGCTAGGAGTCGAAGGAAAGGTGCGCGAGGCGGTGCAAGGAACTCCCATGAGCCAATCACGAGCCAGGACTTCCATTCAGACTTCCTCTGTGGCAGAGGAGAATCACACTACACCGCCACCTGCTGGCCATGAGCGATAGCGGTGAAGTAAATTTATATTTTTAAGGATTTTAAAATGTTTCTCTGCTCCTAACTGGGTCACTGTTTTCTTTAAGCTCTCTTATAATTTCACAGTCATCAAAAGTCACATTTCTGTATCTACCTGTATTGCATGACACCAAAATATAGATTCTATAATAAATCTATTATAATATTAGACTTTCTGTAACATTATCAAAAGTGTGCAAAAACAAAATTTCTAATTACATTTGCCAAATGTAATTAGAAACATCAACATTTTGATGACGTTGATCATCAAAATGAAAATTTTGAAGATCTTTCAGACGTTCACAGATTTCTATATATATCTATATATATAGAAATAAATTTGCCCTTTAAAAATTTGATCCTACACCTAGATCTTATCACCATTATAACAAAATTAAAGTTGGGGAAAATTGCTCAGCTTGCTCTTTCACATGGTCACCAGGCATGTCTGTTTCACAACATGCTGTATCAAATGAGAGGAAAGGCTGGCTTGGCTCAGTACCAGTGGTCCAAATTCCACAACTTTCTCCCGACTGAGATTACTGAAGATTGTGTAAACACTCGTGAATCCCGTTATTGACGCCCACTGAACCTTACCTCAGTTCTTTGGCTGAGGAAGCATCAGCAACAGGACAAATGTAATCACTTAGTAACTAAAGCCTAAAGAACCAACACTCTGACCTCTGACTGCAGTAAACTGAGACAATTACTATTCTTTTGTTAAGGACTTTGAGCACATGTATCTGTAACTCCTGGAGGAGCTCCAGCAGGATTCCTTTTATTGTTTTTCTTTTTTCATTGGCGACACATGAAGAAGGAAGGATGAGGAAAGCGTGTTTGTTGGCATTATTCCTCCTTGGCATGGCTGTCGAGGGAAGAGGTGCTGCAGGGAAAGCAAAGGACTCTGCAGAGTCTCCAGACCTTGTCAAGACAAGCAAACTCAAAGAAACCGACGCCATTCCTGAAAAAAGCGGCTCTTCTTCAGGATTTCTAGGTAACCTGCTGGTGGTGCCTATGGATGGGAGTCACTGGGTGGGCATAAAAGCCATCGCACAAGAAATGGGTCGGCGTGGACATAGGGTCACTGTGGTGATTCCGGAGCTCAGCATACGGATGGGCCCGGGGAAATACTATGATACAATCACTTATCCTGTTCCCTATGGCCGGGACTACATGGATTTTGTGATGACCTCATACAAGGACATCTTGGACAAGTCGGCACAGCCTTTATTGGAGAAGATAAAGAAGCAATTCAGTCAGATCCAGAAAATTACAAACCTTCTTCACACCACAGCAGAGAGTCTTCTGTTCAACGCCAGCCTCATTTCTCATCTGGCACAGCAGGTGGGTGAATATACGACACGGGGACAGATTTACAGATTATCGTTGTGGAAAAAAATCACAAACACGAGTCTGGATGAGAAGAAATAAGACATTGATTAAAACCTTGCATGGTGAGAACTGAGATACAGAGACAAAGGAGTCTGTCGCTCCTTTTTTTTTTACCCATTTATTTTCTGCTATTAAATTTTTTAGGCATTTCTTAAAAATGAATATCAGCATATAACACCCAACAAAACTCATTGACGTATCAATTTATTGTGTCTCAGACGCCTCAGCGACCACAAGCTTCAATGTATTTTATGAGAATCCAACACAAAGTACTGAGTATTTTTCTCCTCTCCTTCTGTCTCAATAGAACTTCGATGCAGTCCTGACAGACCCAGTGGTCCCGACAGGCTTGATAGTTGCTCACAAATTAGGTATATTACCCGTCTTTGGATTACGTGGTGGGTTTGTTCTTACATGCAATGGATTGCACACGTCTTAACAAGTTCCACCACAGGAAAAGCTGCATTCCTCATGAAACGCCACTTGAACTAACATGAAATCACAAAACTGCAACCCAACATGAAGAGGTAGCGGAGGATTCTAACAAGCACATAAACCTTTTGAGTGCAAGTCATGGTTCGATCACTTTAAAAGACAACCCCCAATAGCCCTCCATCTTTCTGTCTGTACCTAATGAAAGTAAATGATTTTCTTCACAATTAATGGATTAGATCACTTAAATCAGAATATTAAGTAAGACTCCATTTGTTTCAGTCACTCAGTCACCAAGTGAAACACAATATATTGATGAGTTAAATAACTTAATGTTTTAGCTCCTTTATTTCTCTTCAGCATGATGGTTTTTGGCTATCAGCTAATAAAAACATAACATTTAATTTTAGAATATTACTTCTGACCCCAAAAAAAAAAATGTTAAAAACATAAATGTAGACTTTAAAACCTGCTTAAACATTACTATTATTATTTAATTTCCCTTTTGGATCAATAAAGTATTGAATTGAAATAATGCCATTTTCCACAGGGAGCAGTCTATGAACAGTGTGCACCCTCTCACCAGTCTGTGCCAAATCACTTCCAGGTATCCCCACCATTAACTTGCTGCGGGGGGTTCCCTGCTCTCTGGACATGAAGGCTACAGGCTGTCCCTCCCCACCTTCCTATGTGCCTCGTTTCTTCACCGGATTCACAGACAGGATGAGCTTTAAGGAGCGAGTCATCAACACATTGGTGAGTACAGCGAACAGAAAATAAAAGATGGCTCCTCCAGCTTTGAATCAAAACGTTTGACCTCCAAACGACCTCCAGATTTGAGCTGAAACTGTATCGTTTTGCAGTGTTTGGACACAATTTTGTAACTGACAAAAATGCACCCGTTGAGAAGACTTGTGCCAACTCTGTGTGATCAAACAAACAAACAAACAAAAAAATCATTTTGGATTTTATGATGCCAGGGTTTGTACACCACAGCCATTGTCCTGCTTGGTTTCGGACCCACAGGTGGCGTCGCTGGAGCCGATGTTTTGCCGGCTGATGTATTGGCACTTTGACCAAATAGCCTATGACTTCCTGGACGAGAAGGTGAGCGTGGCAGAGCTTTTTGCCGAGTCGGCTATCTGGCTGCTCAGGTAGGATGTTACAAGATAATCTTTCTATCTTATTTTTTCTCACTACTTTCTTTTCATCATCACAACTACTATGGTTGCCATGTTATAGGGGGATCCAGATGCCCTGGTGTTATTCTACATCTGTAAAATCTCTACTATCATTCACATAATTTGTAATTAGCTTACATCATAACAGTGTTATTATGGTAGTAGATTTTGATCTCACAGGAGCAGCAAATTGAGCAGCAGGTATTTTAAATGTGCCGTATTATGTTAACTATTAAGAAAGTAAGATCAGCTGATGAACACCAAATTTACAGGAAACAAGTCAACAAATTTAATATCTTATATTTCTCCAACAGTGGCTGCAGCCAACAACAGGGAGAGATTAATCTATTTCTTGAGTAACATTATTAAAAAATATATAGAAAATTTTCTTTCATGTGTAACAGCAAATGATGTCCATCGTTCAATGTTATTTTAAATGTCGTGCTGGCTTGTTGCTCTTGGGGGCCCTCTGGTGGTGTTGAGGCCAAAAGAGCAGCTGCTTAACTTGCACATCCCTTGAGCCGGTTCTGCTATAAACTTCCTGTCACAGAACCGTGATAGGAAGTTTCGACTAATATCTCATAAAAATCTGGACGTCTCCTTTTGTCTTATCAGAGCTCACAGCATTAATTTCTTCAGAAAACAACAATGAACTGGTTGTTTGACCCAAAATACATAAGGTCATCCTTCACTGAGGCCTCAAGACTTGGACAACAATGAAGAAATGTGTATTAAGTTAGACCTTAATAATGTTCTTGTGATTCTGTTCACACAAGGATTGACTTTACACTGGAGTTTCCCCGTCCTCTCATGCCTAACGTTGTCCTGGTTGGTGGGATCAATTGTAAAGTGAGGAGCCCGCTTCCTGAAGTGAGACATTTTTACTAAATCTCAAACTTTTTCAGACATTCCTCCTGAACGCCGCTGGGTGAGAAGAAACGTTAAGAAGCTCTGATGTGTGTTTTTCAGGATTTGGCGTCTTGGTTATCAGGCGAGCATGGGTTTGTGGTGTTCACTCTGGGCACCATGATTTCACAGCTGCCAGATGACATCACTTCCACCTTTCTGGGTGCCTTCAGCCAGATTCCTCAGAAGGTACAGGGACACTAGTGGGTAACAACATAAAGCCATCCGGTGCCTTGTAAAACCATTCATTCTCCTTAAATGTGCTTGTGTTTTGTCACGTTGTAATTTAAAGAGCCAGACCAACAAAATGCAGAACTGTGAAGTAGATGGGGGAAAAAAACATGATTTACAACATTACAAATACTTTACGATGATCTATTTGTGTCCAAATCAATGTAATTTAATACCAGCTGTTCTCTGGTCCGATAAGAACAAGCAATACTGAAAAGAAAATGCATGCCGCACTTTTCAGAATTTTCCTTTCGTTTTAGAATCGTGCAATACTGATTTTGAAAACGTTCAGTAGGTGTGAATACTTCTGCATGTAATCTCCAGGTTTCCAAACTAAAAGCTCTGTTAACACTTTTGATAGGTGATATGGAGGTACACTGGGAAGGTTCCACACAGAATCCCAGACAACGTGAAGATGATGAAATGGGTGCCTCAGAACGACCTGCTAGGTAGTAAATCCATCTAAAACATCCGGAAGGACGTCATATTACTGCTCAGGCATATAAAACATCGAATTCCGTAAATAATTTGATGTCTTTTCCAAGCTCATCCTGGAGTTCGAGCTTTCATCACTCACGCCGGCTCGCACGGGATATTTGAGGGCTTGTGTCACGGCGTTCCCATGGTGATGGTGCCACTGGCCGCAGAGCAGCCCGACAACGCACAGAAGATAGCGAGCAGAGGAGGCGGCGTTGTGCTGGACATCACCGCTCTCACCACGGAAACCCTGCTGCAGGCGCTGAACGAGGTCATCAACGACTCCAGGTAGGAGGCGGCGCAGCTGAAACATTCCTCATCTCAGCTGTGAGTTCAGCCTGTTCCATCCCTGTGTGTGCGCTCAGGTACAAGGAGAACATGGGGAAGCTTTCAGCTCTTCATAACGACCGGCCCATCGACCCTCTGGATCTGTCAGTGTTCTGGACTGAATTTGTGATGCAGCATCAAGGAGCGAAACACCTCAGACCTGCTTTCCATGACCTGTACTGGTTCCAGTACCACAGCCTGGATGTCATGGTCGTACTAGCTACCGTGCTGTTGGTTTTTGTGGCACTGATTTTTAAATGTCTGAAGCTCTGCCACAGGAAACTGAGCAGGAAGAGAAAACAAGAGTAGCTGGAGTTGCAAATTCTCCGTTTCCATCCTTATCAGTGTGGGGAAAGGAAGTTTTAAAATGGTGGTAAAATTCTGGTTTCAAACGCTGTAAAGAATCAAAATAAATCCATGGAGGTGATCAAAAGAAGCTTTATTAAACTGAAAATGCAGAATATCGTAGGATCAAATTACATAATGGAGGAGAATCAGTGTCCTCCTTTCTTTGGAGGAAACATGGTGTACTCTATTGCCAGAGCGACGGTGAACGCAGCGAAGCCCCATTTAAATCCTCGGAACAGAACTTCTGAAAAAGTGACCGCACGTGCGAATCCGCCTGAATACCTCCACGCCTCGTTGCTGCGGGCAGACAGAGACAGAGGGGAGAAGTCAGTCAGACATCACCTTGGATACAAACGTAACCTTGTTAAAATGGCAAGTTTATCCAGCGTAAAAATCAGACTTTGATCAATTGATTGGAAACTCTGCCCATATATAATAATAATATATTAAATTAATTCAAAAACATGAATTTAAGACTTCCTAAGGATGCAGACACCCTGTTATTTCTGTTTAATCAGAGTCAAAGCTATCAGTGGCAGGTGGAAACGCAAGACAACTTAATGCTGAAACTGGATCAAAAGTTGCCTTAAAATATTAGTTCAAAGGTTCACTGGGCTGCTGAAACTTTTTATTCTTGCTGCTTTAGTTGAAACTTGCTGCTTTAGTTCTTGAGCTGGAATTAATTCCCTCAGATATTTGTACATGTGTGTGAAAGTACTGACCGGGCCCAGGGGTCTTTGAGGCCTCTGGCTGCCAGTCGCTGCTGCGTGAACTCCAGCGGGGTTCCTTCCACCTTCCACTGCCGCCAGTCCGGCAAGGGCATCTTGCTGTGGCCGTGATCACCTCCCATGCTGAGAGAAAAGGTGTTTCTCAGTCCTGGTCGTGTCCGATGCTCTTTGTGTTTTCTTTTCATAAAATACAGACAAATCCGCGGTTGCAAACGTGTTTGGTACAACTCACTGTAACTAAGATCAATCATGAACACAGGGAGAAGAAAGCTTCACAGACATTGTCAAGATGCATGTTTTATGCATGTTTGGTGCTCTTCTATGACCGCAGCTGTGCGACTGTCAAATTTTAATATGTTCAATAAAAACTCTTCTATGGTGACGTTCTTCCAAGACAAGAGTTTATGAACACGCCTTTTATGCTTTTTAATTTGTTTTAGTGAAGCTTGAAATGTACGTCAATAAAACTAATTAGATTACAGTTTGACTTATTTTTTCCTTCCCACCTAATTATGTGTTTTATTAAACATATAATAGATGCTACAACGTTTTAGCAGAAAATTTGAAGAGGCCATTTTAATGTGATAAATCAGGAAGCATAACTGTAACAAATGAAAGTACAACAATGTCAGCATACTACACACTTATTTATGTTAATATGTCTTTCTTTAGGTAACATATTAGCTGGACTCTTTCTGAAAGAAGTCGGTGTTTTCTCAGCTAGCACCCTAGCTAGTCTATGACATTACAAACTCACTCAGAGACCTGTGTTAGCTAACTGCGTCGTTTGCGATAATAACGTGGAACCAGAATCCGAGATACGGTAACAGAAAACTCTGTATAATATCGAGCTTTAAAAAGATGAAAAGGCGTACCTGAAAGGTTTGTTGTGACCTCTGCTGCTTAAGTGAAGACTGCGACAATCAGCGGCGCTTGACGGCAGAAGTACGGTGAAGTGTTGGGGACAAAAGACCAACGTTTTCATAAAGCGCGAGCATACGTACAAAGTATAATGTGTTATATTTACTGAAATAATAAATCTGTGCTTAGGAAAAATAAATTTGACCTTTATTAGAGTATACTCCACCAAAAATGTATTGATGTTACTTGGTTACCAACGTAGCATCTCTACAGAGACTTATGTCCACGTATCCACTATTCTTGTTTAGGATAAAATGAGAAGTACAATTCTTACGATTCATGATTTAACACATAAATACAGATTTTCTTGTATATTGTGACTATATGACATATTTAAAATCCCTCCATATAGTTAGCTTTCACTGCCATGTGTAAATATACCATGTGTAAATATACCATAACAATCCAACTAACAAAAATTGATGACGAGGTCAAGCTGAAATATGGATGAAATTTATATAATTGATGGATGTATGAATACACTTTTCCTACCTCTTCCCATACTTATCTAGACCATAAAAATACTAAAATACTTACATAACAGATTACATTACTATTTTTAATCTCAGGTAAAAGTGCAGACTACCCATATTTTATTCTTTACATTTTCCAAACTCTTAGTGTTTAGCACTTTTTAACTCCCATTTGTAAAGCACTTGTGTGTTAATTAAAAAGAAGTATGGCATTACCTTTAAAATAGCTGAAAATGGTAATTAAAATATTTTTAAGCACATTTCAAATCTTATTGCCATCTTTCCCAAAAAACGTTGCACTCATATTGCTACTTAATTATATAAAAATTTGCCCACAATTTTCCCATTCCACAAATATATACATTAGGTTCGATCCTTAAGGGTCTGGTGTTTTACCATTGTGGCTGTACTTCTGAGGTACTTGCCATCTAAACATTAGCTGTTTGCATGTTGTGGAATGTGTTAAAGTTTGCTTTGTGTCTTGAGCAGTTCCTTCAGAGCGTCCAGGTTTTCCCCCGGTGGAGCGTCAGGCCACGAGCTGTGCTCTGCACAAAAAAACACACAGAAACAATCAGCTCACTCTAAAGTGCATCGTGTACAAACAACCTTAGAAGGTCGACAATCTAAGCGTGGCTGCAATGACGGGCTGCACATACCGGGTATCTCCCACAGGGAGTGGTAAAGGCTTTGTCCTGCATCCACTCTCAGGGTTGCCCCAGAGATGTACGAGGCACCAGGAGACAGCAGGAAACAAACAGCAGAGGAGATCTGAGCGACAAAAAGTGGAGTTTTGTGGCTTTAAAGGTTTTATAGTTAAATATTCCTGCAAATTTATTTAAATACATTATGGCGTGGGTATTTTTATAACATGAGTTATAATACAAGCGTCTGGGCTGATAAAAATTTTTGTCTTCAATTAGTAGTTTTATTGGACTATTTGTGCATTCCAACACAATCTTTGACACATGTCTTTCCCATAGCAATATATTTATATATTTTAAAAAGCACACACCTCTTCTGGCACTCCGAGTCTCTTTGCAGGGCTGAATGGGACGGACATCTTGAAGAGGTGCGGTCCAAGCTCCTTATAGTTCTCCATCGCAGTTTTGGAGAAGATAGTTCCCTTAAACCAAACAAATACCCCAGTCACTGCAGCACAAAAACATAGACTCCGATCAGCTCGTAGCTTCACGTACAGGTGCCACAGCGTTGACTCGGACTCCCGAGGACGCCCACTCGACGGCCATCGTCTTGGTTAGGTTATCCACAGCTGACCTCGCTGCTCCTGTGTGCCTGTCAGCGAGAGGCAACGGCAGGACGTGACAGGAAGTGTGCAGAAACCTTTCACATCATTAGTCAGTTTGCTGGTGAACGCGTCTTACGCCATGCCTGGGAAGCCTTTCCACATGTCAGCGATGATGTTGACGATCACTCCTCCTTGCTGCTTCATCCAGGCTGTGTAGACTGAGAGAAAGGACAGGGGGTGATCATGTAGAGAACTCAGTGTCTTGACACAAGTGTTTGTATGCCCTGAACGTTTCCACAATAAAACAAATGTTTGTCGTGCCTGTCAGACTTCAAAAATCTATAATTATTCATCTACTTTGCTGCAATTGCCCTCTACTCTATCATGGTCTGTCACAGTAAGAGCTGAAATGATTAGCTGAATAAATCGGGATAAATTGATTTTTGAAATAACCGTCAACTAATTTAGTAAACAATCAATTGTTAAATGGAGTGTAAAAACTTTAAAAATAAAAGAGCAAGATTAAACTAAAACTGTACAAAAAATATATACATTTTGCATTTAAAATAAGAAAAAATCTGCTTTGTCTAAATGTGCTACATAGAGCTCTTCAAGTGACATAGTTTTCTTCACCTGGTTCAAATTCTGTACCTAAATCAAAAATCTCATATTAAGCACCTTTTACTAACCAACTGTTAATCATGTAATCCAAAAAATAATCAACAGGATCTGAATTATTTGCATTTGGCTTTCTAATCTTGTACAAAGATGAATAAGATTACATCCAAACTTAACATCTGGAAAATGTTAAGTTTTATTTGATCCGATTATTCTGATAATTGGAGCTACGGTGCACCAATTGCAGTTTTCTGGACAATCGCCAATTAAAGATCTTTAAAAAGTCTGACCTGTGATTCCGATTTTGACCAATACTGATTTTTTTTTTCTTCTCGAATGTTGCTAAATATAGCAAGACAGTTGATTAGTTGGCAACAGTGAGGTGCCTATTGACAACTGCAAACTTGCAGGCATTATCTTGTGGTTTGTCAGTCAAACTTCTCTCATGGGAGAGTAAAAGAGGACCCTGACTGATTTGTGAACGTTTCCAGAGGTAGATAAAATCTGTGTTTAAGCTCATTTTCACATGCAAGTATCGGCTGATCACAAATCTTCCAAAGTTAAGGAAATTGAGCCAGTTCATCAGTGCACCCCGATGACATACAATTCCAATAACATTTATCCTGTAGGTGCCCGACTTGAACTTACCCTCCTTGCAGCAGTAAAAGGTTCCAGTCAGGTTGGTGTCTATCACAGCCTTCCAGCCTTTGGAGGCTATTTTATCCACTGGGCTGCTGAACTGACCCCCTCCGTTGTTCACCAGGTAGTCGATCCTACCATACCGCTTCAGCACGGAAGACACAAGAGCCTTCACCTGTCACAGAAAAGCAAGATGCAACAGTCCAGTTGCATCCTGTAAAGCAGTCACTGGGGCATGCAGCGAGGTCTGAACATGTTCTCTTGCCTCCTCCTCGCTGCGGATGTTACAGGGAACCGTGGTGACACTGGCGGGGCTGCTGGGGGGGATCCTCTGCCTCATCTCCTGAGCCGCTGCCTCCAGCCTCTCTGCCTTCCTGCTGGAGATCACCACGCTGCAGCCTGCAGGCAGAGCAGCAGCAGGAGGTCAGAGAGGTCACGAGAGACACGATGACGTGAAGCTGATGACCAGCAAGATACAACGAGGTAATGACAAGTCCTTGTGTTTATGTACATCTGCCTCTGAATCTAACCTTTATTTGCTCTTCTTCTGCTAAATATGACTGTAAATACAAACGGTCATATTTAACTGACTGTTAAAGGTGTTTCGTAACAATCGCACCGCACGTGCTTACTTAGACTGATAGGGTACATTGAAGGTTAATTATTACCCAAAGACATGTATCTGTAGCTGGTCGCCAGACAGGTATGGAAACATCAGCCGAGTTTGTTAAAAGAAAATTAACTTTTTTTTAACAGAACTAGTCTCACCCAGCTCCAGCAGCTCCGCAGAGATGGCTTTACCGATCCCGGTTCCTCCGCCGGTCACTATCGCTACTTTGCTGTTGAACAAGCCCGGTCGGAAAACACTGGAGGCCGCCATGTTGGTTTCTACTCGGAGTGACAGCTCTTCCCCGAGTAACAGCGCCCCCGTCCGGACGCACTCCGTCACCACCCATGTGGTTTTGAAGACGTTTATTGGCTTCGGATGAAGTTTTAAACTGAATGAACATTGTTTTGGTCTTACGAAATGAAGCACAGCGAGCTAATAGTGTCACGATTTAAATGCCGTTTGGCAAGCAGGTCACCAAAGTGTGTGAAAAGAGAAAAATAGCACAATCAACATTTTCCCAACATCAGAATCGGTAAATCTGACCAGGTCTGCTGGTCAGTTGAACTGAAGCAAAGGTCGTCGGTCGTCAGACTTTGTGTGGATTTTATAAGTTTGATTCACTAAGATGTGCAAAAAGAGCATATCGTGGGACAGGAACGCATCAGCTCAGAGCCCAGCTAACAAAAGAAACTGAAGCTTGTTGAATACAGTGGCTTTACATTGAAACAAATAAGCAGCCACTACAAATTCCCTACACTGGGAACCCCTTAAACCTGCAGAATCTAACTTTTAAAGACATGACTTATTATATATTTGTTACAAATGACACTTTGTCAAGATGGCATAAGATAATCTCTTGGAAAAAATACAACTGAACCACAGATGGTCTTTACTGATTTTACCATTTGAATGTGAGATTTTAAATTGACCCAGAAGCCTGAGCAGTTCAGCTGCTAGGATCATAATTACACCAACATTAGTGGTTAAAAAAAGACGACTGAAGACTAAACCGTCCTTCATTTCAATCAAGAAAATTCAAATGACAACTTTTCAATTTGAAATCTGCTGTGCTGACACACTTCTTCTTAATAACCAATCAGTGAAGCGCCACCACAAGTTTTTCTTTAGAACACAAACATTACAAAGACACAAGGATCTCCGCTCCAGACTTTTATTTTTCGATGTTGAGGCCATGTCTAGTTCGGCTGAAATAATAGAAAACAAAGTCCCAAATCCAGCAGCAGTGCTCTGGTTTACTGGTCCTTCAGTTCCTTCAGTCTCCTGATTGCAGACTTAACTGTGACAGCAGACGTTGTGCTGCAGGAAACAGAAATGACAAATATTAGAAACGCTGAACACCTTCAGCATCCAGTTATTGTCCATCAGTGTAAAGACACGCTGATGTGTCTCTTGTAGATATTTTTTACAGTTTCGCTGTAAAAACTGTTATATTTTGGACATTTTGTACCCACC